GATTAGATACAATGCAAAAACAGATTTAAAATGAATAAAAGCACTTTGATTTAATTCATAAAAAGATTTCTTTAGAGGATTTTCTTCAAATCAAGAAAGGTAAATTTGGTTGGTTTCCCAACTTTGGGATACGAATATATACGAATTGGTAATTAATTAAAAAGTAAATTTAAATAACTAAGTATACTGTTTTACATTTTTTACTAAGCATAAGCCAGTACACTACCCTGGTAAGTATAAGGCCACCGCACTGAAAATCATTCCGTACTGCTTCAATCGGGTCAACTTCGATGTAATTTGTATGTTTGTTTTCAATTTATTTTGTTTTCAATTTGAAACAAACTATTGCAGAAGTAAGTCCTTTTTGTTTGCTTAAAATTTTTTATTTTCATTTTCGTATTTTATAAGAGAAATGAGCAACTAATTGTTCCTTTTTAGGTTCTTCTAACTAAAATCTCTAAAAAATATTTTTTTACATACTTGTAGACCTTTAATAATTAAAAACTTTACTTTTGTTGATTTATTGGTTGAATTATATCAGTCTGTACATATAAACATATGTACATGGAACTAATACATAATTTTATAACATATAAACAAAATTTTAACAATGCTTTACAACTTTAGACATACTACAATTTTCGAAAGTACATTTTTTATCAAATATTCTACTTTTGCAGATTTCGCAGTTTTAAAATGTTGAAAATATTTTGTAGTAGTTCTAAGTTAGGACTGATTTTTTAAAATACCTTATATTTGCTTCAATATAAAGATGTTTTTAGTAAGATTTTCTAATAAAAGGAAAATATGGTTAAAGTTTGGCGAATTTGCCCTATGTATCGATTGATTTCCTACAAATTTAGCAAATATATTTAAAAAAAATCGTTTGAATGGCAACTTCCCTTTTTTGTCAATTCTTTTGCAAATATCAAAATAAAACTACCAAAATTTATTTATATGGAATTTTTCAGGTATTTTTAGATGCAAATGACTTAAAACATAAAAGGACGATGAAAATGTTTTTTTTCTTCATAAAAACTCTATAAGTTTTTAAAAACCATAAAAGGAAAATGAGAGTGCTCTCTGTTTGCGGTGGTCATATACTAACCAAGCCAGTGCATGAGCACTTAAAATAAATTATTCTGTATTAATTCTACAAAAATATTAATTATTTTGTCAAAACACCAACTAATTTGTAAAATTGTATAATATTGAATTAATATTAAATTGAAATTGATCAGTCAGTTCCATAAATTTGACGTATGTATATTTGGGTAAGATAAGCTAAATAAAAAATTCCTAAATATCTAGTTTCTCTAAAAAAAGGGATGAGGACGTGAGATACTATGTGTTACTCGTATTATTCTTATTAAGTACGAATAAAGAATTTGGCAAACAAAGTTTACCAAAACTATACATATTTAATGCAATTTTTTTTTATTATTCAATATTTACAAGAAGTTTTTAATATATACGATATACTTATTCTTTACGAAGTTTTAAATATTTTTGTGAATAGTAATAGTTTAATAGTATCATTACAAAAACTATGCATATAAAGGAAATATGAAGCAAATTTACAAAAAATAAAATGACAAGTATACATGATGTTCATTAGAGAAAATTTGGAGTTTTACATGTAAACTTTTATGTACACATATAAACAAACATGAAGTATGTTTCTAATCATATTTTTAGCGAAAATATAATATTCTTGAAAGTCTAAATATAAAAAAGCCTGTGTCGAAAAGTTTCTGTCATAATTTCCACATGTATACTAAAGCATAAAAAATTAAGGCGTCTAATAATATTATGGAACATCACATTACTGTCACAATCTAATTAAACTTATTTATGATATGTGTACGTTATTTATTTTCCAACCTTATTTCCTCTCATCATATCCAAAATAGAATAAAAGAAGCATAAGAATGTCTCTGATTGCCAGAACGTATCCATGAACATTAAACAAAAAACATATCATTATCATTAAAAGAAGTGTATTACAAGGGACAAAAAAGCCGAAATAAGGAAAATCAAATATATGTACGCATACGTGTGTATGTATATACATATATAAAAAAAAGTTGTCAAAATAAGTTGTTTTTGTACAATGCGCTTATGAAATTATTTTAGTGTTAATTACATAAATAAATCGCGTTTCACTATATACATATATTTTGAAGTGCACTGAAGCGATTCTATTAATAATTTAAACACTTGTCAAATTCTATCGTTTCCATCAACATTGTTTTTGAGACACAACAAAATTGTTTACATACAAAAATGAACTTTCGTCCGTTTATTAATTTATTTATTTAAAAAGATTTTTGTATGATTTAAAATTTCCGATTTAATAAATTGTTTATTTATATTGATTGACCTTTGAATATACCGAAGTATAACTAAATTAAAAACCCATACCTTAAGGACAATTAAATAATATTATAAAGGATAATTAAATGCTGAAAGATAATGGCACCTCTTTAATTTGCAAACCGTATAAGAAAAGCGGGGGAAGATCTTTAGGATCTTAAATTTTTAGGACGTTACACTGGGATTAAGTGGCATATCAGCCTATATCTTCCGGGATCGGTGCCATCTGTGACAAAAACCAAATGTATTTTAACTACTTGGCACCCAATTTTGATATGAGTTCCAAATGTACTTTGAAATACAGAAGTTCCAAGTGTACTTTGAAATTTTAATTATTTTTAATGACACTTATTTAAAATCAATTTCAACTTAGCTTCACTGTGACTACTTTCAAATAGAAGAATATATATAGAATATCAAATCATTTTATGTACATTACAAAGAAAAATAAATTTTACAGTTATATCATTTTTCGAAATTAAAGTATGTGTAAGTGAATCATTATGTAGGTAATTTAAATAAACATAATTATGCCGAGTTTAAGAGCAATATAAAGATTTGAGAAAGTGTATATGAAAGTTTTCGTAAAAATTTTAAAATTAAGTCAGGAGTAGGGAACCTTTTGTGAGAAAGATTTCAACACTGTCGAATCCGTAAACTCACATCAGACTCCGTCCCGGAAAAAGTGCAGCAGCGAGAAATCAATGAAATAGTTTGGGACAGGGTAACCGAATTACTTTCATATACTCAAAAAGCTTATTTTTTTAAAAATTTTTTGGATATTGTTTTTAGATATAAATTCTTAAAGCCTATGATTTTTAAAATATGAAAATCTTAAAAACTTACTAAAATTTGCTTTTTCAATAACTCGGTACATTATTTTAACTTATTTTTAAAATTTTCTAGAAGCAATTATTCGTAAAATATTATAAATATAAAAAAACCAAAATAACCAAGCAATTTTTTTTTGAAATCATATTTCATTTTGTTTTTTTTTGTGGTTTAATTTCAAATGTAAATGAGCACAAATCGTATAAGAATCGATTCAATGATTTAAGAAATCATTAGACGAAGTTTTTTTTAAATATGCTTATTAATTCCACAGTTTTCTTATTTGACAGACTTTGAACTATTATCAATATTTACTTGGACTTTGAAAGTTTTGTCTCATAACCACAGAGTTTTTATAAAAGAAAATACATGTAAACGTATACCACAATGTACATACATAAATATGGACATTTTCATTCATCAATCAGCATCAAACGTCTGCATATCTAAAATATTTTGCTAAGATATTAAAAATCTTTCAATTCTTCTATTAATAATTTGAATATTATTTTTGTCTTGAAATGAAAGTAATATGCACTTTCTACGCTCGAAGTGAAGTTGGAATGGAGAGGAGCGCAAATTGTTATTAATATTATAGAAATGAGTTTTAAGAACTTTTTAAAATTGATTTTTGAACAAAACTACGAAAGAAGCAAGTTGATAATTTTGCTCAAAATTCATCTTATAAAATCCGTCTTCCTGCATGACTCTAGAATACGAATAGCCGAATCATACTACATATTATATTATTATTGACATATTTGAGCAAACGTTTAATGTGTTTTACTGAAAAATGCTTTAAATGTGTTAAAGCTATTCGGAAAATATGCTATACATATGAATGTATGACCATTTAATAAACTAGCCAATATTGTAAGTCTACTGAAACTAACGTTGGGTATAAGTCATCAAAAATCATCTGGGGCCGAAAACAAATGTTCTTTTTCAAAACATTTTTGTATAGAAAATGTTAGAAATGCTTGAGTAACTATTAAATGTATGTATTAAATATGACACATAATTCACTTTTTAGTATAACTTATATAAATTTATATGTACATATATTTATTTTTCCCATCTCGACCCACAAGATTTTTTTGTGATTTCCATGCGCGGCTACATTTGCACTATGTCTTGGTCCCTAATAAATTGTGTGTACAATATCAAGGTCACAAAGGCTTTACCGAAACACCTCAGTCGTAAGTGATGTACAGCCTGCCATTCAAACAAAAAGTGCTCCACCTCTTCCAACGACTACCAAGACGCAGTGTCTAGCGAGTACACCCACTAATAACCTCAAATTTGGATTGCCTTAAATTTAGAGTTCTCGACGTCTCCATTTTAAACGTGAATATAAGAATAGTATTGAACAAGCAAATTTTTCTTGAGTTAAAGAACATAGTTTTAAGTTCTAAGACCATAGTTGATTAACTGTTTCAAATCATTCATAATATAATGAAAATAATTATTAAAGTTTCGAAAGGAAATATAAAGGAATAAAATACAAAATATTTGAATTTAAAATATTTCTTAAGAATGAATAAATGTAGGAAGCTAACGCCGGAAAGGAAAATAGTCCAATTTAACACTTTTAATTAACATATTTTTTAATTTAAGATCTTTATATTAAAATATGAATACTGCGATGTTTGATTTAATATAAAATCGCAATTATTTTAATTTCAAATATAATTTGTAATATTTATTCTTCGCTCTATCCATAAATATAAATTAAGTTAGTAACAAATATGTTTTCACATATTAAATAAAATTAAATTTAATTATGTAAATACCTGTTGAAAATTGTTCATATGTGCATAGTTATAATAACACAATGTTTAACCTCCTAAGCTTCATCTTTCATTTCGTAGCATATTGTGAATATACTTAATCTTGCTATGCAAAATTTGATGAAAATTTGAAAAAATTTTTGAATAAATTTTTTTTGATAATTTGTTACAACTTGTTTTCCGATGTCAAAGTGTTTTATTATTGCACACTAGGAGAACTTTTATTTAAGTATATTGGATTGTCAGAAATTTCATCCTCTTGAATTTATTGCATTCACTGATTTTATAGAAGAACTTTCAATTTTATGAATTAATTTTTTAATTTTAATTTTAATAAAATTTATTTTTTATATTTAAGAAATAAATTTTACACACACAATGATAAAATATTTTTTATGATTTCTAAATTTTTTTAAATACAAAAAATTAAATTCAAATTATGATTCCTAATATAACCACACATTTTTACTTTTATATAAGTACAAACATAGTTTTACGTTTTATATAGACATACATACATACAAATATACATACATGTAGAACTTTATATTAGAAAATATCTGCACATATTTTGGCAAGGCTTATGTATACAATGTAAGTTATCTCGAAATATAATATGTAAATACATGTAATTGTGGCTTGTATTCCCGAATACAAGCAATTCTCAAAAGTGATATTTTTATTTATTACACACGCAATATTAATAAGGTAGCGTTTAGACATCAAGCAAAGTTGGACAACTTTATTTGATTGAATGGAAGGTTGAACGAATGAGAAAAATAGTATCGTCCAATTCTTATCAAATTTTTTTACAGAAATAAAAAAATGAAACGGCGAGAAAATTTTTGCCGTTATATGCCCTGTGATAAGCTGTTTATAGTTAGTTAAACTATTTTTTTATAAAAATTTCGAAAATTGTACTAAAAATATCCCAAAAAAATATTAGTTGGCGAAAATTTAGTTCAATTTAGTACGTCATTCGAAAAATAACAATGCTTATGGGATATTAAATCTAAAGATTATACTTATGTAAAAATGATTATGAAAAACAAAAATCATTTGCAAATAAATCACTCACACTTTGACGTGATAATTGATATATGTATGTAGCTTGATATACTTCGATATAACATACATAGATATACCTCGATATGAAAAAAAAAATTTAATGTCACAGCATACATACATATACTTATGTACCTATTGGATCAAATAAAGTTTGATGGGTCAGCAGAATTTCTCATCCAATTCCATAGTTGTCAAATTTAATAGCGAAATTTTGCTTGGTATGTAAGTTTAGTGCTACCTAAGTATTTATGTTTGTGCTAAAATACACATTTTAATGCACAATATTTAAACGCAACAGCATACAATATACTTATATATTCATAATGTCGCATTTACACACAATTTATTTGCACCATTTTAATTCTATATATATGTACATACAGTTATACAAATAAACCATACATACATTCGTATACATATATGCATGTGTATATTATTTTTAATCACGTGTATAACTATTTATGTGTGCATTTGCATATACATATATGTATGGATATGTATAAAGATGCCTAGATAAAAGTATGTATGTACATATGTATACATCCATGTTCCGTACGCATTTAGACTTACTCCAAAAACGCATGCTTAAATGTTTAGAAAAAATAAAAAAAATTAAAAAAAAAGAGAAAGTTTGAATTAAACAACTATTTTTTTATATACAAAAAGTATTTTAACGGCACGTTTCAGAAATATTTTATCCGACAACGTTTTTTCACTCACAATAGCTTGCTATCTCAAAAGTAAACTAAAAATTCTTTTGCTTTTACAGTTCACTGCTTTAGGTAAACTAACAACAAAAAGAAAATTAAAACGTTATAAATATACGTGTGTTTATATAAAAACAAACCAATGAAGAAAGATGGGTGGTTTTTTTATATGCGGTATACGATGCATACATAAAATTTTAGAAAAGGCGGAGTCCATAAAATTAAAATAAAATGGTGATTATTTATAAACAGTGGTGACAATTTTTAATACTACAACTTTAAATAATGCTCCTTATTCAATTATCTTTTCTTATTGAAAGCACATTTATGCATGTTTTATTATGCCTTCTTCTCAAAAATGCTCACATTACAAAGTATTTCGATGTTGTAAGAGTAAAACAAATGCAATTGTTTATTTTTGTTCCATTCAAATTTTTGGAAACTCGCCTTCAATATAAATATAATACATCTAGGCACTTCAATCTACACTTAAGATATAAGTTTAATTACTTTCAACTCAATTCGTTCATTGGAGTTCCAAATTATTCGAATTAAAAATCTTTCAGCCAAAAATATAAAAGTTTTCCGAATTAATATTCCTAAATTTATTTGAATTTTTCCTCAGAAATAAAAACGATTTTTGTGTCATTATTTTTTGCAAATATGGTAAACTGTTACTGTATGTTTACACATATGTATAGTTACATAACAGAATTACTATTACTAAACAATTTTCCAATTTTAAAGTTGTATTTAATAATGTGCCTATCGACACAGACACGGAGTTACACTTAAAATTCTAAAAATTGTAATAAATAAGACTTTAAGTCTTTGTAACTTTGTTATAAAGTTTTCTCTACTGATGAGGATCTATATAATGACATATAGCAGTGCACTTAAAGCTGAAACACCCTGTGTAATGCAGTTTTTTTAACAATAAAATTTTCAAAACAAAAAAATGATGTGCTTTAAATATTGGCTTGTCTGCAAAATTTATTCTGCAGATATACGTACCTTTCAATAACATTTAAAATACAAATATGTATATACAACCTATAATCAGTTACATTTATCATGAAATTAAATTTTACGACACTCTAATAATAAATATAAATATACATAGTTAACCTATTACATATTAAACGTGTCCATAGCTAATTTAAGTTAAATCATACTACCGACATAAATGCAACTATTGTGAATTGTTTATTGTGAGTTCTGACATTTCTTAATGTTCAGCATAAATAGAATATAGATGTGGTGAATAAATATATAGTTTTCTCATTCTTTCGTTTATTTGTTTTCATATTTTAAAAGTTGTCAATTTTTTGACATTTAGGTTTTTCTCCCAATTTATTTTCTTCCAACACATACACATTCTTTAATAAAAAAAAACTTTCATTCGAATCATTTTCCTAAAATATTTTTTTTGCATAATGAAGATGGCTGATGGGGCTACTATTTTGCGAAGAAATCGGCCAGGAACAAAAGCAAAAGTGAGTATAATTAGTTGATTATAAAAATAATGCACGTTTGCAATCAGAAAATTAAAATAAACTATTTTATATTCTGATGCAAATTTCGTATATATGTACATAAATCAATGCTGGGCTTGGCTAGATAAATTTCAAAGAGGATATATTATTTAGCATTTCAAGTTTAAGTTCAACATGTTTTGTGATGAATTTGATTATTAACCAACTTGGAACTGAAGTGTAGATTGTATAAAACTTCATTTATTGTTTTAGGATTTTTGTCGATGGCCAGACGAACCGCTTGAAGAAATGGATAGTACTTTGGCTGTTCAACAATTTATTCAGCAACTGATTAAAAGAGATCCATCAAACGTGGAATTGATTTTAACTATGCCCGATGCGCAGGACGAAGGGGTTTGGAAGTATGAACATCTTAGGTATTCATAAGAGAAATCATAATATAAAAAATTTTAAGTTAAATTTATAATTTTTAGACAATTTTGTATGGAGCTGAATGGTTTGGCGGTTCGGTTGCAAAGTCAATGTTTCCCTTCTACGTGTACACAGATGACGGCAACAGAACAATGGATATTTTTATGTGCTGCTCATAAAACACCAAAAGAATGTCCTGCCATTGACTATACACGTCACACATTAGATGGTGCAGCTTGTTTATTAAATAGTAACAAATATTTTCCAAGCAGGTGAGTACATAATATTAACATAATATATATTTTTTAATTATAAATAATATATGTACATATTTTAAATATGAAACCAAATTTAATATTTGAATATAAAACCAAATATAAACATATTGTTTGCACCATCATTATTAAAACATTTTAATTATAAAAATAAAATTAAAAAACGAAATTATATTGACCAATTGGAAACATATAATTAAGTGTTGTACTTGAGGATAGTTAACTAGGTGCAATTATTAAATTTTAATTTTTATAAAAATATAAAGCAGTTCAACGTTAATAAACTAAACCTAATATTACTTATTTTTAGGGTTTCAATAAAAGAGTCATCAGTTGCCAAATTAGGCTCTGTGTGTCGTCGTGTTTATAGAATTTTTTCACATGCATATTTTCATCATCGAAGAATATTTGATGAGTTTGAATCAGAAACTTTTTTATGTCATCGTTTTACACATTTTGTAACAAAATATAATCTCATGTCAAAAGAAAATTTAATTGTTCCAATTAATGAAGAAGAAAATGCTAATCCAGGTGAAAGTGAAGCTTAAGCTGTTTCCTTTTGTTTTGTGACTTACAGGAGATTTCATTAAATATTATGTAGGAAAAAAAGCAAAAATATGAAGCAAAAAATATAACAACTAAATTATAGGTAAAAACAAATAATAAGGAGTGTTATCAATAATTTTCCTAAATTATGTTATGAGTCAAAAATTATGTATAATTAAAATACATTAAAATCACAAATCAATAATTCATTAAATAAAGTAAATAATTAATTAAACAACCTACGATTAATCAGTTACATTTATCAGTTATTTTTAACAATCAATATAACAAAGAAAAACTTGGAATTTTTTAAGAATTCAGTTTCTATTCGTAAAAATTTAAATAAAAAAACAAAATTTTTTGCCTTTTTTGAAATTGTTGAACTTAATGTTGGTAAAAATGAAGTTAATAAGCAAAATTTGTAAAAACTACAAAAACCAAATTTACATGCTTTGTTGAAATCCAGTGCACGATATCACATTTAAAAAAGTTATTTTAATATTTTTATATTATTTAAAAGAAGCAAAAATATTACGTAGCATTATTTTTGATGTAAGTATGTAACTTTTTTTTATATGGTTTACACTACTTACGATTTACATATTCTGTCTTACAGCTTTTTATATAATTATATACTAAATAAATAAGCTTTAAGTTATATGAATTACATAAGCGTTAAGTATATAATCAATTTTTAAAAATACTTTAAAAGTAAACAAAAAAATGAGCATTTAATAATGAATTTTAATAAATTTTTTAAATATTTTAAGAAAAAATAATTAGTTTTTACCCTATAATCACAAAATAGTTAAAATATATTTAGTAAATATTTTCTTTTATAAGACTAATAAATGTATTATCATGTGCTGAATTTTACCGAATTTTATAGTTTTTATTTTATTTTTTACCATTTATTTCGAATACACATAATTGGAAATATCCAATAATAAATTATTAAATTATTGATTATAAATATTATTATTATTATTAAAAATAATTATTAATTATGAAAATATTGAAATAAAACTTAACTAATGAACATAAGATCATTAAGTCACTAAAAAGATGATTGTGTAAAAAAAGGTATTTAATTTGCAAACTAGATTTTATGAAGTAAATTAAAAATTGAAATTTATAAACAAAAAACTTCATCAATCACATAATTTATATAAAAAAAAATCACAAACAATTCCATAATTTATAAAGTGATCACTGAATGGAGCAATAGATATACAAAAATAAAAAAAAAAAGTTAAAAATCTTACAGAAATAATCGATGTTAAAACCTTAATAAATTAAGTTTTGAATAACATTATATAAGAAACACAAATTGAAGAATAAAAACTTTGATATATTTAGGTGAAAATGTAAAATAAAAAAATAATAAAAGTAAGAAAAAAGAAACAAATTCAATAATTAAAAAATAATATTAAATATAAAAACAAAAAACAAACAATAAATAATGTATGTATGTAATCTTATTCAAAATTTAGTTTCATTTTATTAAATTTAGTTTTTCATAATCTGGAAAATTTGCAATGTGGACCCACTACATGACTGAATATAAAATCATACAGTCTTTATTGATCTATTTTAAATTAAATAGTTGTTTTATCCTTATATTTATAGGAGAAAAAACGTAGATAACAGAAAAATTTCTAAGGTTCAATACACATTTTCATTTGTTAGTGTTAAAAGTTTAACAAAAATTTTATGAATTTGATAATCAATAGGAATGGAAATTAATCTAGAAGTATATACATATTTAGATCCAAGTTTGAGGTCATGTGTGATATTAAATAAATTCTTTAAGTTGATTTCATCTAACATAACAGTATTGTAATAATTTTTATGATGAGCTCAATAATAAAACTAAAAATTTAATTTTAATAAATTAATTTGCAAAAAAAATTTTTATGAATTAAAACAACTAACATATTTCGTAATCTAATGAAAGAGTTTAATACAAATAAACTTACATATAAAAAAGTTAAGATTTTAAATTATTTTTTTAATTCTAGAACAAATACATACGAGAATACATAATATGTATTTATTTCTAAAGTTTACAATTAAACATATCACAAGTTATTCCTCTATAACCTTTCATTGATCCTTCTTCTATAATTTTTATTAATTCTATATAGTCTGCCATATCATCAGTTGCTGATTTTTGACTAAACTTTTGATATCCGTTTAATAAAGCACGCGCTGCATGTGCATACTGTTTTGCTAAGCCGGGATCTTGACATGCTGCTTTTGATAGACATCCATAATTGCCAGCTTCAGCTGCTAAAAATCCCAAATACAAATTCTTTTCATTTTTTGTCATCCAATATTCACCTTGAACATTGTTTAGTCCACGAGCAAACATTGTCCATGATCCAGCACCAACAAATCCAGCAATAAAAATTAATATTTTTAAAAATAGAATAATTATAAAATTTGTTAAATTTAAACTAAGTGATTTTTCGTTTCCAAAAGATCGACTTAATAATTCTTTAGAAACTTGTAGAAGCATTTCACCAGTTGGACTTGATAAAATATTTTGAGTTCTTCGTATCACATTTTTTGAAATATCTAAATTAGTTTCATGTAGTGCAGAAATGCTTGGTTCTTCACATTTACCAATTTTAAATATTAATATTGTAAAAAATAAAAATTTAAAAATTTTCCAAAAATAAATCATTTTTGTTTCCTCAATATTTAAATTTTTTTTTTGAGTAAGCACTATAGATTTATTCCATTTGTAGGATATTGTTCAACTAAATAATATTGAAGAATTTGATTGAACCTTCCAAAAAATATATGTAATTTAGGCATTCCCAACATTAATATAGTAAGATTATGAGCAGGTAAATTCTATTATACACGATAAATTTTTATTTTATATAGGTGCATTTACAATCTTTTAAAAAGTTTTAATGGTTCGTTAAGCATAAATATAAGAAGGTACTTAAATATTATATTTTGTCAAAACTATTCCCGAGAAACATTTTTGTTTCATTAGGCCTTTAAAAAATGTTGTCATCAAGTTAGGTAACATTTGAAGTCTTATTATTTAGGAGCTCATTTATACATTGTGAAGTTTTATAAAATTTTTGATTTTATAAAAAATCATAAGCTATCGAACTATTACCCACTTGCGATTATTTAGTTATATTTTTCAAAATTTAGGTTTAAATAAAAATTTGTAGAGAAAATTGATCTAACTGGAAAAAATTCATTGAATATTGAATGCTTATAAAAATATTTCGATATTTAATTTATTTTTTATTATCAACACAATATTGTTTAACGGGTTGAGTTGATTTTTAAGGTTTTATTGCATACCTTTCGACTTGCGCTATTTACTACTCTAGATTTGTTTATGACAAAAGAAAATATGTATGTATGTACTTCTATTCAGGTCTTAAAATATTTTGAATTTGTACATACAGTTTTTTTTATTTTTTATGTATAACAATTTGAATTACTTAAGTATCATAGCGTATAGTTCATAAATTTATCTGATAACGACCCATACAAATGTATATTTTAATAGATAAGAAAGAAGTGTGAGTGGGGAAATAGAAAAAGTTTATTAAACTACCTACAATTGAAATTTTTTTCCAAGATATATATATGTATATATAAATCGGATATTTACAAAATTACTTAACTTGATGAAAAACTTAACCATTAACCCCTAACTGGCATAGTTAAAAAATTTTTTTGCATTCATATATATTCGCAAATGTATTTCCCATACAATTAATTCGCTTTTATATCGTATCTATATTTTTGTCAAAAAACCTGATGTTAGTCGAAAATTATATTTAATACGAAAAATTTATGTCGAAAGCGAACTTCAAATGAAGGCAGTTAGTAGTTTTTAAAGTTTCTACAATTTGCATTGTGACAAAAAATATCATAAGAGAAATCTGTGAAAACTAATCAAAACAGAAAGAACAAAAAAACGTGTCAACATCTTTCATGTCTTTCATACACAATCAGTTAGTTTAGGGTTAATATTATTTGTTTTATTATATCATTGAATTTGTACGCGTTTTATATGATTTTATTAAATTCACATTTTATTTAAACTTCTCATATAATTAAAATAAGAAAATGCACAACAATTGTTACAAGTTCGCATTGCAATATGTTGGTAAATTAACTCAATCTTGCTCATGTTTTTTAGATTCGATTTTATCTTCATGAAATTTTTCTTTGCCTTCAGATTTAGATTTTTGATTTGAAATATTTTTATTACTTTGCTCGCCTTGTTTCGAATTTGAATCTTTGTTCTTATGTTTTTTTTTACGATTTTGTCTATCTTCTCCATTTCGATTATATTTCGCCTTTATTTGATCATGATAATTTGGATTTTTTTTTTGTTTTTGATTTGGATCATTCCAAAAATGAGTCTTTTGCTTAGCTTTTTGGTAACTTGAAATAGATAACAAAAAAAAAAAATAAAATTGAAAGTCAACTTATTATTCTATCATATTTTTAAAGTGCGATTTACCCTAAAACTTTAGGATCAATTTCGTCAAGTGTAGTCAAAATGTGAATGCATGGAATCTGTCGTGACGCAACTATTTGTTCTAATCCTTTCGTAATGGGATCCCAGTATTCTTCGATTCTAGAAAAAATTGATGTAAAATAAAAAATAAAAACAATATTAAAAAATCCATACAATATCAACTTATCTAACTTACTTTTGATAACAAAGTCTAGTTACTTGATGCAAATCATAATCTCTTTTCATTATTTCAGCTGAAGATATTGTTTTACCGATTCCACCACCTGAACCTGTCCAAACTATGGAACGATACTCTCCACTGTCAAGCGCCTTTTTTGCGTATTCGATAACATTAGAGATTTTTGTACTTCCTTTAACCTTAACAAGCAAGAATTTAATATAGATTAGTTCTTAATAATAAATGTAGGAGGATTTTTGAAAGATTAAGGCTTACATGCATCCATAAGAATTTTTGTGGCAGGCACTCAATTGGAATATTATCTCTCGTCAATTCTTCTTCAACATTTTCACCTTTCCTATAATTTATCATTTTGTTAAATCGTTGAATATTTCAATTTAACCTATAAAAAAATGTACAATTAGAATCCAAAGTATACTTTATAAATATCTGAATATAAACTCTTTTTTTCATTTAATGATTTGTTGCAAGTACACACATAAATACGAAGAATTTGCAATTGTGTAATTGAATTCAAAAAAGCTGAGTTTTAAATGTTTTTTTTAGAAACAAATAAAACGTAGGAGAGTAAATTCAATTTTAATATTAAAAATGAAAAACAATAGTCAAGGATTATTGTTTTTCATCTTTAGAAAGATAATTTGAAAATAGGAATACCGTTATTGCTTCTACCACTTGAACTATCCGCATCCTCAAACTGTTTAAGCCAGCGGGGTTCAGATGACATAGCCAAATTGCAGAGTACTATACGGGTTATTCTTCCACGGTTAAAAACAATTTGCGAACGATGCATGGACCTAATCTACGTTCCAAAAATTTAAAATACAGCTAAGGTGGTCTTTATACCTAAGGCCGGAAGAAGCTCTCACAACTGCTCAAACGTACTTAGACCGATCAGTCTATCATCATTTCTATTAAAAAAGCTGTTTTTGAAAAGCTGTTACATGGATACATTCGAAACTACTTGATTTCTAGTTTGTTGTTATCGGCGCAACATATATACTGCAAGAGCAGGTTGGCAGAGACGACGCTGTCCTTCCTTGTACGCTACATAGGGGGATCTCTGAATAAAAGAAATTACACTGTCTTTTAAAAATTATGACTGCCTTTTTGAATATCGAGGAGGCGTAATAAAGTAGGACTTTAATAAAGTTACTTCGGATGCGATTGACTCATGAATCCCTAGCAGTTTTGATAGATAGACTGATCTGGTCATCTATAGTAGGAGGCACAAAGTGATCACATCAATACTTGGTGACACGACGCTCAGCTTTTGCTCGGAGACTAAGTTCTTGTATTCTTAATTAATTTAAATAATTTAATTGAATTATAAGAAAAATAAAACTATAAGGAAAACATTTTTCTTAGAGAGAAATAGATTTGTGTGCATATATGTAAATTGGAGCTATAAAGATGCGTTTTTTGTAAGTACCTATATATATGTATATACGTAAGAATATAATCTTTTAATACGTCAACACGGGGGTAGGTAACTTTTAACATTTTTGGATACAAATCTATTTTTAGAAATAGAAAGACTCTCGATAAATTTTCTTTTTTTTTTTTATTCATTCCAATTTACCCTTATGCTTTCATTCTTATTTGAAATTTTTAAGAATGAAAAATAACAAGAGAAACCATTCTTAACCACTTTTTACTTCTTTATTTTTCTTTACATTATTCCCACAGTGAAAATATTTCAGAATAAAATAGAAAAAAAAAAAATAATAATAATAAATATCATTGGTATTTACGTCCTAAATTCCTTTCATCACACCACATGCTTTACAATTTGATTCGAAATTGAAATAAATTGATAAACTTAATCTGCCTGTCCATCTTTTTAATATAAAAAGGAATTGCAAGAACAAAAATTTACAATAAATTATTTTTTTTTTAATAATTTAATTAATACAAGCATTTCACGTTATTTTCTTTCAAAAGTTTATACTTGAAGCTATGTCATTATAGCTTACTGTCATATTAAAACCGTTATCATGTTTTGGTTATAAATGGAGTAGCATTCGTTATGCTGCCCAAAAAAACTCGGCACAATAAATTCCGAATTTTCTCTCCTTTTTACAGAAATATATGACATTTCCAATTGAAAAAATTATCTTCTTTACTAATAGTTTAAGGATTAAGTCTCTATGTTATGTGCCATTAAAAGAAAAGAGCCCAATAACTTCCGTATGAAAATTGTGAAGTGAAAACTACAATACTTTTACTACTTACTTTTACTACCTACTTTTACTACAATACGTTATAATAATATGGTAATATGTTATTTATTGAACATGTAACAGCCATATTTTATGCAATTTTTTTATTCCTTGAATAATATCATGTACGTTAAAATGTTAAGAAAATTGCTTTTTTAAAATTATTAAACCAAAACTACTACTTGAATTTTTCAATAATTGTTGATTCTACCAACATATTCAAAAACTCATTTATAATTTATTGTAAGAATTTAATGAAAAATAAAAGGAAAAAAAAACGCACTAAAGTGTTTTCCTTTCCCCTCTTTCATTTTTGCACAAATATTTTCATGAATTTTGAATTGAAAAACTTATACCACATTTTACTACATACATATGTACATACATATATTTTTTTATATAACATACATGCATACATATACAAAATATTTATTATAGAGCGACAAGAAAGTTGAAGAAAAGAGTGTGAAAACTTTATGATGAACCTCTTTAATCCTATCTATTTGTAGAAATTTAGTGATTAAAATGAAGAAAATTGGAATGGGAGAAGCAGATTGAAATGAGAAACGATGATATTAAAAGAGAGGAAAAAAAAATGAATAAAAATGATTGTGAAATTTCAATTAAATGTCATTTTCAGTTGAATCGAATTTAATTATACATTGAAAATATAAAAGAAATCATGTTGACATACAAACAAATATATCGGTAAAATATAAAAAATCAATATGCTTATAAAACACGTACTACGAGTATATAAATAAGATGGTAATAACGACAACGATAAACGATAATTAAAAATCAATATACAAATGAGACAACAACGACGATCTTGAAGTGTTCTACTTGAAAATAAAAATGTAAAATCAGAAATGAAGAATATACCAAAAATTCTTTATATTTGAAAGAAATCATTATTATTAATACACTTTAAAACTTTTAATGCGTAGTAGTTCTCTTAGAACAGAATCCCTAACCTTATAGGTATATTCAAAAATAATGTTATTACAATTATTGTTTGTGAGACAAATTATGCGTCATAACGAGAAAAATAATCTTTATAATATTTCTTGCGATCTTGATTTTGGTAATATGTATGTTTGTGTGAAAATTAAAGAAAAGGGAACTTAAAAATTGAAAAACACGATAATTACTATGGATGCCTACCTAAATGCAATTCTAACGTCAATTTGGCTAATTCATCGGATTATTTTGTCAAGTGATGTCAGATCTGCAATTTTGATATAGATGACATATGAAATTGACAAAGTATAATATTGGCAAATTGCAAAAATTGTATTGCATTCATAAAAAGATCTAGATACAAAGCATCTAAATAATATTTGAAAGCTAATTTTAATAGTTGTGTTATGACTCGAAAAATTTATTTAATTGAAATATGCAGTGTACATGGATCATGCGCGCTATTTTTATAATGAATATGATTGATGGGTACGTGAGTGAATGTGAATTTCATGTGCAAACATATACACAAATTCTTAATTGTTCCTTTTATTTTTTCAATTCATTTTTTTAGAGTATTTTATATGAAAATATTTTTACATACTTTGTTTTCCTTTTTCAACTTCTTAAATTTTCTTCTTGCTAACACAAAACATGTCAAATATCCTTCTATTCTATTTGATTCAAATAAAATATAATGTGTGTATGCATGTACTTAAATATTCAAATATACATAATATATTCTAAGTTAAAGTGCGTTTAAAATTAATTTTCTCGAAACTGAATTATATTATATGACGTCAATAAATGTTATTATTTGATCAGAAAAAAAGAAGAAAAAATTTAAATAAAATTTAATTTAATTTTTTAACTCAACTATAAATCGTATACCCTCAATGTCATTGCCAAAAAAAACGGTAATCACGTACATATTATATATACGTAATATGTGCATATGTGCGTGAAATAATAAAATTCAATTAAATTAAAATTTACATTTTAATTTTATTGAATTTGATGATTGGCCATATTTCGTGAAATTCTTATACAAATGAAATCATTAAAATAATTATTTTAAAATTAATTTATTTTATTTTTAATGAAAGCGCTTTTTATTTACATACAAAAGATTAAACGCTTCAAATATAAATATGTAAAATCGAGTTATGATAGAAAAGTATAGCGGGTTCCAACCAATTATATACGTTCGACCAACCAATTATATATTTAATATAACGAAAACGCTACGGCCGACTGTTCTTTGGCCGATAACGCACAAAACCGGGAAATGATTATCTATGATATCATGTAAAAGTCCCATATTCCTCCTAGGACTACTCGATCAGATTGAAAATTATGACGAAACGAATATGGGTATGCGGGCATTAAGACCTTTTGGTCTTAACAACTCTATCTCAAAAAATCGCGTGAGTGAACGTCTACTATAACGAATATGTTTTATTGGTCCTCTACTAGAACAAACATGTTTCAAGTTTACTATTGTTAAAATTACTTTCATTTGATTGAATTGAAAATTTTGATTGAAAACTGATCAATATTTTTGTTTTTTTATATTTTGCCTCAGTTTTCTTCTGTTAATCTATGGCACAAAAATAGAACTCTATTCACAGTTGAAATTCACAATTACAGTGCTACTTCTTACAAACACGTACTGATATTTAAATTTATTTAAAGGAATTTCTTAAATTTCTTCTTACTAAGCAAGGATCTAATTCCCCAAAATTTTTCTTAAATTAAAAAATATGAACGCAAAAAAAAAAGAAAATGAAAAATTATGTTGTACAACTTATAAGGATGTTTCTTAAACAAAAACAAAAAATAAAAATTCTTTGGTTCTTCAACAATTTTTCATTTTTTTTATAAAATTTTCTTATCTTATTTTTTAATTTAAGAAATTTCTTCCTTCGTGTCGTGTCGCTTTAATTCAATTTGAATGTCATCAAAATGTTTACTTCTTTATGTATGTATATATGTATGTGTATACATATATATACATGTTTAACATGATGATGTAATTAATCTTATATAAACGGCCCAATTCCAATTTACCATTGCATTTTTTTTTTCGTTCCTTCAATTGTAGATATTAAAGACAACTACTGGCGATAACGAAAAATTATAAAAATAAAAATATTACTTGAGTATAGTACGACTTATATGTATATGTGTTTTGGTATAACATGAAAATTCCTGACAAAACATTAAATTTCATATTTGTATTAGAATATTTAAACTGGTAACACCACCCTTTTCTTAAAAACAAAATATTAGAAAGTTGTTAAAAAAAAAAGGAGCAAAAATGTAATTAAAAAAATATTGTGCCCTTAAAACCTACATAAACTTTAATAAAATTTATGAGTCGAAAGACTCTATGCACGTATCTATACAACAACAAGGGTGTACAAGTTCAGAAAAATTCAATTTTATCTGGACTCGTTTATTTATTTTTTATTTAACGTTTTAAATTTTTTAAGGAAAATGTTGAATAGTTTTGGAGTTTTTGGTTGTTTACTACCAAAAACAATTCATTTAATTGAAATCTGTTAACACTCTACTATAAGTAATAAAATCATTTATTATCGTATTATTATTATCGTTATTTTTAGATGATTAAGTGACCACGTTTTATAAAACTTAACAACCAAACATGATTTTATATTAAGGGCTATTTAATAACTCGCCATAGAGCCGCAAAATATGGCCATGCATAAAAATTTCTATTACTATGCATTCTATTGAAAACAAGAAATAAGATTGTTCTATGGCCGTTCTCGAACATTTTCATTTTTATTTAAAAAGACTATTAAAAAATTATTATTTATCACGTCCTCAAAACTTAACCAATAAATGAATTTTTATCATCAACAGATTTTATAATTTCTATGTATAATAATTAACATACATCCTTATCCCCCCACATTTAGGTGTTGTAAAAAAAAAAAGGTATTTGTATAAGAAAATTTTTCACTTCTTATTGTAATAACAAAAACAAAACAAACAACCAAAAAGACTTGAAAGACTTGTTTTCTATTTCATACTTTTGTCAGCAACTCTAAAATCCTTTGCTGAATTAATAAATTATACAAGGATAATGCGGTAATAAAAAAGATTTGGTTGTTTCTGTTATTTTTTTTCTATTCTGTCTTTTAGATTTGGAGAAAAACCGAGGTTACATGTTAAGTAGATGTTGATACAGAAGATCAGTTTCGGTTTAATATCCTTTGGGAAAGGATAACAGAAAGAAAGTACAATTAACCGGAAACATTACAATCTTTTGGTGAATTATTTGGAATAATTAGATTGCAAAATTTTGGATTAGCAATTTTGTTTTTAATTTGAAATAATTTTAATTAAATCAGAAAAAAATTTAGTGATTTTTTTTTTAACCAGCTAATTTGACAAGCTATTTAAAGAAGTTGAAATTTATTTGGTTTTGATTGAGAAAAAAGTGGGTGCTCTGTGGAATTTTATATTATTGCATTTACAAAAATATTTTATGCTAAAAATTAATTTTTACAAATTAGGTTAAAAAATTAAGATTTCAGAAGAATCTTTATTATTAGTAAATGGCAAATTTTCGCGATTTAAATTAAAAAAAAAAATAGAAAAAAAAGTAATCAAAGAAATAAAAGTGCATTCTTAATCTTTCAATAAAATTTTTGATATATAAAAAAAAAATTATTAATAAAAATTTATTACAAATTTGGTGAGAAATTTTATAAAATTTTCCCAATTTTACGGTAACACTAATTGTAAAATTTAGCTAAACAAATTTCTAAATTTTTTCAAATAGTCATCCTTGGCGATTAGGCAAGAATACCCAAGAATAAAATCGAAAACTATAATCTCATATTTTAATAAAATTAAGAAATTCGAAGGTTAAATTAAAATATGAAACGCTATGTCGGTTTGGAAAAACCAGGCTTAATTAAAAAAATATTACTAAAAATTAGAAATAACAGATATACTCAAAATTGTTTATTCTTATTCAAAAATTTTTTGCCATATTGCAAAAGAAAAAAGTTGAGACAAAGAGATTAAAACTAAATCCCGTCGAAATAACAAAAAACGCTTACTAGTTTCACTCTGTCTGCCTTTAATATAGAAATAGATCCCTTATGTACAAACTGGTTTCCGTAAAAGAAAATTATTCGCTATATCCCCCTCCCCCAAAGTCCTAAAAATTTCACTTTTCAACTATTTATTGTAATGAAACCACATACATTTTTTAAATTTCGCAAACGCAGAACATAGTTACATCATGGCAAGTTGAACATTCATGGCTTTGAAATTAAACCGTTATAACTCGTTTTTTTTCTATTTTCTGAAATAATTTTTCTTCTAGAACGCAAGTTTTAGGGTCTAAAATTGTAGCAGTTTTTAGACACTAATAAATAGTTTATTTTGTTAAAAGAAAACTTTTTTTTCACTTCTACCACCTCTCAAGCTGTCGGCCCTCGAATTTTCAACACCATAATACATATATTTCTGAAACTGAAAACTTTTTCAAATTTCTATAAATGCAGAAAGCTAACGGTGAATGTCATGCCATCAAAAAATATAATTATTAAATATTAAAAATATTCTTAAATTAATAAAATAGTGCACATGTTATTCGCAACACTAAATATGTAATTTATATAATCACTACATTATATTCTGTAACCTATAAATTTCTGTAATAAATTCACCTTGAACTTCTTATAAAGCTGCGTTAGACGTTTTAATTTTGCGTTTGAAAAGAGGCTAAAAATTCGGTAAAAACATAAAATGTTTGAAAAGTTAATTAGAAACACACGATCGAACAATCATATGGGGCGGAAATTCGACCACATAACGTAATAAATTTAGAAAGAAAAATCAGAAACAAAGCGATCATTGTATAAGTTTAATCGTTGGATCGGTACCTTTAAATTATAAGAATCTACATTGATAGTATCGGTTCAAAATAAGATACGATATAAAACCGAATTAGGTTCCAGGAAAATATCAAGTATTTTTGCAATGTAGTTGTTGAATACCAAATTATCTAAACTCAGAAATTTCTTTTTTCACAAATTTTCACAAATGTAGCCATAATTAATTTTAAATTTTTAATAAAATTCTTTTAAAATAATATAGAAAAAACAAAGTTAATAAAAAAGCCAATATGGATAGCAGAGAATTTCGACGTCGTGGTTTTGAAATGGTTGAATACATTTGTAAATATTTAGAAACATTGGAAGATCGTCGTGTAACACCAAGCGTTGAACCCGGCTATTTAAGGCATTTATTACCCAATGAGGCACCACATAATCCAGAAAAATGGGAAGATATTATGGAAGATGTTGAATCAAAAATAATGCCTGGTGTAACACATTGGCAACATCCACGTTTTCATGCATATTTTCCATCTGGTAACTCATTTCCATCAATTTTGGGTGATATGTTAAGTGATGGAATTGGTTGTATAGGATTTTCATGGGCAGCAAGTCCAGCATGTACAGAATTAGAAACAATTGTTTTAGATTGGTTAGGTCAGTATTTTTATATAAAATTATAATAAAATTAAAGTAAATGTTTTTATAATAATGCGTAAGTGCAAAGTTTTTTTTTTTCAAAAAATTAAAATGAATTCAAAATTTAAAGTTCAATTTTTAAAATTACGTACAAATTTCTCGAAAAAATTTTTTGTTTATTTACAAAAGGAAAATAAATAAAAAACATGTAATCATTGAAAAAACCAAAAAAAACCGGAAAAAATAAAGAAAAATTTCCTAAAATTGATACAAAAGCGAAAGGAGCAGTACTTGAGGTTGCCTGAGTATAAAAATATTTAAAACTCCGAAATTTTCTAATTTCGAGTAATTCTGTCACATTTGCATTCACAATAGTTCAACTAAACAAAAAAAAAACATCTGTTTAATTTTTAGTCCATTTGTTTTAATCATACGGAAGAGAGAATTTGCCGCAGCTTACAAATCTTGTAACGCTTAAAAATATCATGTACCACGGACAGACACACAGATCAAGCAGAAAAAACTTAAAATGAAAATTTTACAATGTTTTTTTTTTTACTTTTAAAGTAAACTCATAAATAATTTTTAAATTTGAATGTAATCAAAAAGTTTCTATAATTGTTCCATTTTTATAAAATTTATATAGGAAAAGCTATTGGATTGCCGGATGATTTTTTAGCTTTGAAAGAAGGAAGCAGAGGTGGTGGAGTTATTCAGGTAAAAACAAAGCAAAAATCTTTTTTTAAACTGCTGTTTTATATTATTTAATTATAGTGATTGAACATTTTTCTCTTAAAAACCAAAATATTTTGTTTAAAAGTTTTCTTTCATTCTATTTTTAGAAAAATTTCTAATAATTTTTTTAATATAATTATATTGAAAATTTTACAATTTATGGTCACAGGAATTAAGAAAAATAAATAAGAATGAAAATTTCTTAGAAATTTTTATACGCACATAATTGTACGTTCACATTCAGATTGAAAAATAACAAGTGTATTTACACACAAATATAGCGTATATATAAATACACTTGTTAAAAGTGTGCCCATAGGAAATTAGTAATGATTTTGCAAATTCTTAATGTTTCTACTGTACTCGTTACCATTTCAAGATTAAGGAGTTATTTTACAAATTTAAACATGTATAATCACATTTTTACGAAATTTTTCACAAAATTCACAGGTGTATTTTCCTTAAATGAGTTTATCAATAATAAAGGTAAAATTTCCACGAGTGTAATTATCCCTTTCTTGATATTTGTTTCGATTTCGAGCCTGTGGAATGAAATGTTTTTTATTTTATTGCATTCTAAATTTTAAAATTTTCTTTCTAAATTCCTTTAAATTTATGTAATCAAGTGTCTTTCAAATATTAATTTTTTTTAATTCCATATACCATATATAAAAGACATCTGCATCAGAATGCATTTTGGTAACATTGTTAGCAGCAAGAGCTCAAGCATTAAAACGTTTAAAACAATCACATCCATTTGTTGAAGAGGGCCATTTATTATGTAAATTAATGGCATACTGTTCTAAAGAGGCACATAGTTGTGTAGAAAAAGCTGCAATGATATCATTTGTAAAATTGAGAATTTTGGAACCAGATGAAAATGCAAGCTTAAGAGGAAAAACTGTTTTAGCTGTAATGAAATTTGAAATTTTTATCGTTTTTAATTTATTTTTATTTTTTGCATTTACATTTTTTTGCTATTATACTTTGAAGGCCATGGAAGAAGATGAACGTCAAGGTTTTGTACCATTTTTTATTTCTACAACATTAGGAACAACTGGATCGTGTTCTTTTGATGCTTTGGAAGAAATTGGTGAAGTACTTAAAAATTTTCCAGGTGTATGGTTACATGTTGATGCTGCATACGCCGGAAATTCATTTATATGCCCGGAATTGAAATATTTGTTGAGGGTAATTTAAACATTAATTGTAACATAACGTTATATAAACTTATCTGGGTAGCAAAATACGAAATATTTTTTTTAAAAATATAAATTGCACTACATATCACAATTAAGCACTCTCGCTTACTTGTGTTTTCCATTAACAAACTAATTTAACAATTAAAATACAGTCCACATTAAGAGCACCTCCGGCAGCTCTTCAAATCTTTGTCATTTCCAAAGAAAGTTTTAGTTTCTATCTACAATGTTTTTCAACTCTCCCAAGGATGGAAGTACCGAACAGTCCAATGCCGTATTGTTCGCCCTTAATTTCGACAGATTCGTCGCGGTTTTCTCTTTTAATTTTTGCAATAATAATAACAATTAATTTAATATTTTCCTCTAAGACGAAAATAAAAAATAAACAATTTATTGTAATAGAAAGTTAATTGAGTTGTTTGTAAAAAAAAGCATTTGATCAAACCAGTAGCGTAACTTTGTGTTTAGAATTCTATTGTAGATGATTAGCATTATGACTAACAAGTTGAAATAATTTTCGGGTCTCATCCACAATAAATTTTTTGTTAATATTTTTTTTTTTGAAATAATCAAACCTCAAAGTAATTATACTACATGCTTAGCAATATATTTTATAACACATTCATTCATGATTATGCATAATAACTTAGATTACATCCATCTGAAACTTTCAGTTTCTGTATAAAAAATATTTTACTGATTATTATGCATTTACATAATAAAATGAAAGTGTTTTCCATCGAATATTTTAGCAACTATATACTAATTAATTGACAATTTTTCACAATAAAAATTAAACGTAATTGTGCATCAACATTATTAAAAAATAAATTACAATTTTTTCTTAAAAAGCACTAGAAAAAGCATTATTTGAATTAATTTATATTTAATTTTAAAATAATTTAATATAATTACAGGGTGTTGAGTATGCTGATTCATTCAATACAAATCCAAATAAATGGTTATTAACAAATTTTGATTGTTCCACATTATGGGTACGTGATAGAATTCGTTTGACTTCTGCTTTGGTTGTTGATCCATTATATTTAAAACATGGTTATTCTGATGCTGCGATTGATTATCGTCATTGGGGTGTACCATTAAGTCGAAGATTTAGATCACTTAAACTTTGGTAAATGATGAATAGAAAATATTTTAGTTGATATTCTGTTTCTGATTGAATTCAAGAATCTAATATTTCCATTTTGAATTTTTTTTTTATATTTGAGGTTTGTATTAAGATCTTACGGGATAAGCGGTTTACAATTCTATATTCGTCATCATATCGATTTAGCAAAACGTTTTGAGCAACATGTATTAAGAGATTCACGATTTGAAGTTTGCAATCAGGTTAAGGTAAGTTAATTTTCAATTTGAAAATTCGAAGTTATAACAATTCATTTATCTTACATACATACATATTTCAACGTTTGACAATAATTTTACTTTTTTTTTTCTAAAATTTTCTTTATTTTAATTCGAAAGCTCGGATTGGTATGTTTTCGTCTTAAAGGTACTGATAAAGTCAACGAAAAACTTTTAAGTTCTATTAATGCTTCGGGTAAATTACACATGGTACCGGCATCTGTAAATGACAAATATATAATAAGATTTTGTGCAGTAGCACAAAATGCTACTGAAGATGACATTGATTACGCTTGGGAAGTAATTTGTGATTTTGCAGCTGAACTATTAGAAAAAGAACAAGCTGATGAACTAACAGAAATTTTGGATCGTAAGAAAAAAGAGACTTTGGCACAGAAAAGATCATTTTTCGTTCGTATGGTTAGTGATCCAAAAATTTATAATCCAGCTATAAATAAAGCTGGTACTCCACGTTTATCAGCTGATATTATATCACCGGTGGTCGAAGATGGTACACCACAAATTCAAATACCAGCTAAAGAGAATTCATGGATTAGTTGGCCATTAGCATTTTTCCTTAATGACGATGGATCAAAAAAAGATGTTTCGTTGAGGTAAGAAGAAAGAGAAAATTAAAAAGAAAAATTTTTCTTTTAACACATTTTTTTTTTAGATTTCGACATTTGGATGCCAGATTATCTGCTTCACCATCATCACGACGTAATTCAGCTGGTAATTCAAGTCCATCACCAGAAAATGAAAATGGTGGAAGTGTCAATATGAAATCGCCAAGAAAATCACCAATTTTATTAAGAAAACGTGGTTCATCACCATGCCCAAATAATAAATAAAATTTTAAAATGAAGATATCTGCCAAAACATAATATTAATAAAGCCTCAGCAATAATATATAAAGAAAAAAATTGAATAACTTTTGAAAGATTAACTTTAAAACTATTACTAAACTGGAAGTAATTAATTTGAATTTCAATTTTAATCATGTTTGAGTAAATGCATAAATGTAGATCAAATGTTAATTTTGGGTTGTTCAGCAATTCAGCATAGAAAATGTGTTGCTGAAAATGTCGAATTTACGTTCAGATTAAAGAAAACGACCTCTATTGTAATGAACACAAATAAGAAAACTTCTTTTTTTCGCCCCTATAAAAATATTTGAAGACAAAACAAGCTTCAGCAATGTTATTTGTTTTTTAAATTATGAAAATTTTCTAATTATAAGTTTGATTTATTATACAACATTAAAAATAACTTTTTTGAAATTTTGACTTTAACAAATTCAATTTCAATTTAACAATATGAGAATTTTTTAACATTGCAATTGTACACCTTGTACTTATAATTCGTAATGTATTTTCAATATGAATGCTATTACATATAATCTGTCGAATCAACACAGCAACATTACAATAAATTTTTTAATATTAGTTTTTAAATTACATACATACATATAGGCACACCAAATTGAACTAAATGTGGTAGAATTTCGTTCTAATTTCTTCAATTAAAATCAACTATCATAAAATAGCGTTAATATATATGCAAAAAGAAGCTATTAAATATAAAGATGAATTTCAGGCCAAATACTAATGAAAATTTCTTTTTGTGTTTCATTATTTGAATTTAATGTTATTATATAGTAATAAACTAAAACAAAAAAATGAATAGGTGTATATTATTGAACTACTTGTACATTGGTATTAATTTAGTCTTCGCGGGTTCAAAATTGAAACAATTGAGTATATGGGCCCAATTCAGCAATCACAACTCATAAGCTGAATTATGTAATTAAAATTTCCAAATGTTGGATGAAAATTAATGTTCAACTCAGCAAGTACAACTCATTAACTAAGCACTTCTTTTAATGTAGAATAAACTTCTACTAAAGAAAAATATACTAAAAACCACCTACACAAAAATTTTCTTGATTCTCCGGTTAACAATTTTATCAACACACCTGGTTTTTAACACTTTATAGATCCATGGGTTGTTCAGATATATTAGGAAAGTTTACATATTTGATTTCCGTTTATGATTCATAAAAATTTTTATTGTTAATTATTAACTTTGTTTACATTATTGATTCAAAATCGAAAAATTATCAAATCAATTAAAAATAAAAAAAAAATGTACTGCGAGTACTTCACAGATTTGTACAGATACAAATTTAGTAGAAAATAATTTTGTTCTAAAGCAGCCAAAACTTTTATTTTCGGTCTTTCTAGAAAAATATGTTCATAATATGTATGTATATGTATGTATGTACATGTGTCAAAATATTAATAATCCCACAGCCACTTATAGACAACATTATTAAAGTTTATTAACACTCTTCATGCCCCACAATCGAGTAAATAAAAGTTTTTTAATAAAATAAACAAAAAAATAATTTTAATTTTTTTTTTTTTTTTGGTTACAATCAAAAAAATTTTAAATTATCAAATTTTCTTGTAAATGATCATACCTTTTCAATTAGTCATTCATGTTTACATAAAATTTATTCTAAAATACGAGTAGTAATTTTATTTTGAAATTTAGCAGATAATGACAAAAATTAATATTTTATAAAATATAAGAAAAAAAAGTAAACAGAAAAGGTTTCCTTAAAAGGAAATTCCAAATTGCCGAATTGAAAAATAGTTTTGACAAATTTTTTTTGGGTTCAAAAATGGTTGGGTTTCCGCTCTTAAGAGAGTTTTCATAACATTCATGACGGACGCTACATATTATCAAAATCTGGTTTACATATTTCAATTTTATCAGAACGATGTGCAATATTTGACTTGTTGCTTACTTATAGAATAAGTTCAATGACTTATTGAAGGAACAAGAAGGAATGAAAAATTACAGAAATTTGAAACCGAATTTTTTGTCAAAATGTCAAAAATAGTCAAAAATTCATAATATTTTGCCAGTTTCTTAAAAACACGGGACGAGAGGAAATATTAAAAAAAATAATTTTCTATTTAATATTTTTTTTATATTTAAAGCAACTTTATGGTTCGGAAGTTTTTCAAAAATACCGTGAATCTTCACTTTTATATATGTGGATATAATTTAATGGTAACTCCTTCATATTTGGCCACCTCAGTTTCGATATTATTCAGCATTTGCAGCTTTATAAGCATATACAAATAGTTAATTTTAGGTCAAAGTGTTCCAGCAAAGATTTATAAAACCTTTTTTATGATTCCGAAAATTTTCAAATTGTGATCATATTCTGTATATTTATCGTAATTCTATACACGTTTAATGTTGATTAAATGTCGTCACAATATAATTACCTAAAATTATATTGGAAAACTACATAAATATATGCCAGGAGCTATTGATTTATCGATACAAAGAATTACAAACAAATTTACAGCTTTTTTGTATTTACTCGAATCTTTAAATTTCACTTGTTATAAGAAACTTGTACATCATATCCACATACAAAATGTTAGTATATGCATGTAAGTATCTTTATGCAAGTTGTACAAGTTGTAAAAATGTATGTTGTTTTTTTCTTAATGAAAAAAGCTCTTCGTTTATATTCGAAACAAACCGCATAAAACATTTGGGCTTTAATTTCAATGAAGTGGGAAAAATTTAAATTTTTTGTTTTTCACATTTTAAATAAGGATGCTAAACAAGCTTTCTAAATCAATAAGTTAAAGATCGCCAAACTAAACGGTGCCTTATTATCTATCTATCTCTGTATTTATTAGGAATCCAAAAATTTATTTAAAAATTTTTACAAGAAATTGAATTTATAAAATTACTTTTTACTGTTATTATAAGAATTTGTTGTGGGTTCTGTTACAGAAAAAAATGAATACGGAACAATTTAAAAAATACGGTTATGATGTAATCGAATATATTTGTGATTATAATGAAAATATAGGAGATCGAGATGTTGCACCAACAATTGATCCAGGATACTTAAAAGATTTAATACCAAGTGAGCTTTAAAAACAAAAATTTCAATTACAAATACAAATATTTTTTTTGTTTGTGATTATAAAATATTTTAAGCCGTTTAAAATCCTTCTAAAAAATTGAAATTAAAAAAAATTAACAGGAATTAAAACTTTAATTTTTTTTAAAAATATTATATTTTTTTTTGTTAAAATTAAAAAATTAAATTAAAAAGTTAAACTGTCTTGTTGGACACTATCATTTCGTTGACAAATTACATAATAATTTTCTAAAGTTAAAACACACTAGTTCTGAATATTTCAATTACTTACTCGAAAATGAGTCTAACCCAGTATTAAAGTATGTTAATTGTATTGATTAAAATGAGTGTGTATAGTAATTTTTTTGAACAATTTCTAATTTTATCTTCCAAAAGAACAAATTTGGAATCGATATTATGGAAAGAATTAATATTCGATTCAGCCCGTCAAATTTATAAGCTTAAATTTGTTATTAAAAGTAGGAGTGTAATGAAAGTTTATTGACAAAAATTCAAAACCATATTAGAATCTTGATTGTAAAAGTAATTATATTGTGGCTTAGGCGTATAAAGATACCAAATCTTTTTAGTTATTTCAAATACAAAGGCTCTAATTATTGTACTTCTAGTTATTAATTTTCGATTTTGGTAATTTCTCTAAAAATTTTTAATGCAATGTGTTATGCACAAATCCCGTCTATGTTAGCATAGGTAAAATTTTACTAGTTTTTACATGTATGTATGTATATGTATTTGCATATAAGCAAATATTTCTAATTTTATTTTGTAATTATTGAAAATGGTTGCTTATTTGATTGTGCATGGCAATTATCACGAATTTTCCAAAAATTAAGTACATACATACTTATACTTTTTCACGTACAAATGTATTTAAAATATGAAATACATAATTAGCAAGTTTTAATATTTTTTTTTTTGAATTGAACAAATAATTTTCATCTTACAACAATGAATCATATTTTCTGTTTTTGTAATTTGAAAATGCTCTTAAAATAAATTGAAATCATCAACACATATACATACTTATATAAATCTATCAATATTAAATAAATTGACACTAATGAAATCATAATTTTCTTCTACTTCATTTCAAAGAAACTGCAATAATTTACTTTATTGCAGTAGAAAAATTATTATGTAGTAATTTCAATTCACATTTTCTTAATTGTTATCTAAAATTGAAAAAAATTAAATGTTTAAAATATTTTTAGGTGAAGCTCCATTAGATGGCGAAGATTTTGAAAATGTACTCAAAGATTTTGAAAATAAAATAATGCCAGGTGTGGTACATTGGAATCATCCAAAATTTTTTGCTTATTTTCCCGCTGCAAATTCATATCCATCAATTTTAGGTGATATGTTAAGTAGTGCGCTTGGTTCAATTGGTTTTTCTTGGGTAAGTGAATTATAAAAACATTATTATAATGTGCTCATGTATGTATGTACTTTCTAAAAAAAATTTATCATAACTTATCAAAGGCATCCTGTCCAGCAGCTACAGAACTTGAAACAATTGTTTTAGATTGGTATGCAAAAGCATTAAATTTACCCAAATTTTTTCTAAGTAATAATTCAATAAATGAAAATAACAAAAAACCGAACACGAATGGTGGGGGTGCATTGCAAGGTTCAGCATCAGAGTGTGCCTTAATTTGTTTAATTGCTGCGAGAGCAAGGGTTATTAGACAACTTAAAAGCAGAAATGGTAACGAAAATATACACGATAGTGTATTTCTACCGCATTTAATAGCTTACGCAAGCAGAGAAGCTCATTCTTCAATTGAAAAAGCAGCTAAAATGGCTTTGGTTAAGTTAAGAATTATCGAAGTTGATTCACGATGTCAAATGAAAGTAGATCTTCTACAGGCAGCAATTCAAAATGATATTAATCATGGTTTGACACCATTTTTTGTTGTGGCTACCGTTGGTACAACAGGATCGTGTGCCTTTGATGATATCGTTAAAATTGGAAAAATATGTAAAGAGCATAAATGTATTTGGTTTCACGTTGATGGTGCCTACGCTGGAAATTCATTTATTTTACCAGAAATGCGTAATTTTTCTAAAGGCTTAAAATATGCTGATTCATTTAATACAAATCCAAATAAATTATTATTGACAAATTTCGACTGTTCTGCATTATGGGTAAAAAATGTTTTGAATTTAACAACAGCATTAACGGTCAACCCTTTATATCTACGTCACGAACATAAAGAAGGCATTGATTTAAGACATTATGGTATTCCATTAAGTCGGAGATTTCGTGCTTTAAAATTGTGGTTTGTGTTCCGTACATATGGTATCAAAGGCATTCAAAAATACATTAGGAATCATATATATTTAGCAAAAAAGTTTGAAATGCTTGTTAACCAAGATAATAGATTCGAAGTTACAAATGATGTTTATTTGGGATTAGTTTGCTTTAGACTTAAGTATGTTTTTGAAATTCTAAGTAATCTTTCATACTAAATTTGAATTTTTTTACAGATCATCCGATGAAATTAACCAAGACTTATTAGCTCAAATTAACCATTCTGGAAAGATGCATATGATACCAGCAATGATAAATGGGAAATATGTAATTCGATTTTGTGTAACATATGAGCATGCAAATGAAAAACATATCGAAGACGCTTTTAAAGATATAAAATCATATGCAGATGAGATATTAGCAGAAAATCCCCTTAAACAAATTGAATATCAACCAAACAAAGTTGAAGATGAAGTTAAAAAAGTTGAGAAAACAGAGCCAAAACAAACAGTTTCGGGAAGACAAGTTTGCCCCAAAAAGAAACTTACAAGAACGAAATCATTACGCTTTTCCTTTACACGTAGCATATCTAGGGAAATTTTTGAGTCACAGAATGAACATCTGACAGACGGTTGTACTCCGATATTAGTTATAGGACAAGATGATTTAAATAAAAGCTTCTTAGAAGCAATGAGTAAACAAAATAAATTAAAAGATATTTCTGATGTGGATAGTGATGAAATTAGCAACTAAAACGAAATTTACAGTTAACTTATTAGCTAGCGAAATTTATCTGGAATATAAGTACGTAATTAGTACATACATATATATATACGTACATACATTCATATTGCTTTTATAACTACGTAACTGTCTACTTACATACATATGTACAAATTTAAAAAATTATTAAATATAATAAAGTTTATTTAGACACACGAGATTTCTTCTATATATTTAGTCCTATATACATGTAGATCTGTGTAAGTATGTACCTGTACATGAGTCTTCTTCTCAAATACCTCTTTTAAAAATAATTTTACTGGTGTATACACATGTACCTATGATTTACTCCTTAATTCCATTTGCTATCACTTTTCTTATACATATATGTATATCATATTTATATGGTTTCTTACAGGAAACTTTTACAAAAAATTAACACTAACTCTCGAGTGCATAAACCATTCTTATCTACTAGATAAGTTTTGAGTTGCCATGTACATACATTTACGTATATAAAGCGATATTCCATGTACATACATATACAAACGTACCAACATATGTATTTTATGATAAGATTTTCTTTATATTGACGTATTGATGTCTTGAGTTTTTGCTCGATGAGAGCAAATTTTTGTTATTTGTGACATGAGATTATTTCTAAAATGTTTATATATAAGCATTATAATCATACATACATACATGCTTTCAATTAGAAATTAATTTCAATTTTCAATTTATTTTCCCATTTTTTCATATTGGAATTTTCACCTTCCAAAACATAGTGACTAAATTTTGTAATGCAACATACTTTTTAAGAATATGGGATTTTCACTCTTCTTTTTGTGTCACAGTAAACCAGAAAAACTAAAATGAACCAGAAAACAAGGAAGCATTAGTATGTACATAGTAGTACACATTTACATAACTATCAGTACAATTACATCATTTCTTAACATTTACCAATTTTAATTTGCGGTGTTTCCAAAATACTAAAATTTAAATTAATATATGATATTATATAACAACAATATAATGATTGCGTATTTTTGGAAACCAATTAAGTGAAATATACCTACATACGTATAGGTATCCCTTATCCAGAAATTTTTTGATTTCTATTATGTATTGCTGAACAATAGAAAAGTTTTTATCTACAAATTAATCAGTTGCTTAATGCCTATTATTTTATTTTTAAATAAGTGCTAGATTATGAAAGTAAATTATGTACTAGGTAGGTATGTATGTAGTTATGCTGTGAATTTAGATGTTTTTGAATACAATTTAGTATTTCTGAGTGCAGATATGAGCTTTTAAATTTTGAAATTAGGTAAATAAAAAAATTTAATGTTTACTTTAATTTAATAATTTTATTTCAGTTCTTCTAAATCTTTATACAATTTTTAAAGTTTCATATGTAAATAAATTGTTTAATTAAATGGTAACTACAACCAATTTTTATTTCCTAAAACATTACATCGATTTCAATGTTTTGAATATTTTCCTTTCTTTTTTAAAAATTCTAGTCTTATGAAAATACATTTATAGATTATAAAAAAATTGAAAAGCATTGACTGAGCTTGATAAAACCATATTAACCGGAGGTTCCCGATTTACCTTACATTAATAAATATATAGTATATAAATATGCATACATACATATATGAATATTTACTACGTATTTAATTTCTCTTCTTATTTTGACGTTCATTTTCCTCCTTTTGGGCGAGTATGATAAGGAGTTTTCTGAAGATTGAAAGAACATCGAAGAATAAATCTAATGAATGTCTGATGTAATCTCTACTTCCCATTCTAGCTTTTTCAATAATTGCTTGAGTATCGTACAATATGAAAGTCGACATTACACCCAAACCAATATATAACTGTGTTTGAGCTATAAAATATGAACCCATGAACATGTTGAATAGACTAATTAAAGCCATTGTGTTTAGTACACTGATTAATATTCCACCCAAAAACAAATAACTACCACGTTCAGCTAATAATGCAGCTAAAGTTAACGTAACAAAAACAATACTAGTTCCTGTCAAAGCGGTAACAATTATAGCTGGATTTAATATCCTTATGTATTGTAAAAATGGACCTAAAGTTTGTCCAGAGCAAAATCCAAACCCAAGCAGCATACCAAGTCTTGTGTAGAAATTTTTTCCGTTATCCTCCATAAATATTAAGCCCAAAACCAATAAAATTGAACCAATTCCAGTTAAAAAACCCAATTCTAGCCATCCTGAGAGATGAAGCAACGATCCAAGTGTTGCTGTAGCTGTCGTCCCACCTAAACACAAGTACGTTTTGGCCAAGTGGTAACGAATTTCTGGCTCAAATTTTCTTCCCATATTTTGAGCGAAACGCTCAAATTGCTGCTTGTATGAAAAATTCGATGTCATATTTATATAACTTTTTTTTTATATTTCACTACAAAAATTATTAGTATTTTCCGTTTTTTATATATTTTCTAAAATTTCCTTAAAAAAGTTTAAAAATTTTTATTTTTCTTGCGATACAAATTAACTGTGATGAATTTTACGAAATTTCTAGTGCTTCAATTAAATTTATTAGCAATAAAATACAATACAATGTCAAACCAAAAACTCTCTCGAAATTACTCTACTTTCAGTACACGTAATTGTAAAATTTCTGATTGTCACTTTCTTTGACAGTAAGTCAAATACTCTTTAACCCAGTAAAACTTGCTGTTAATATATATGTAGATAGAAAAATTTTTTTAAATTGTACTCAAAGGAAATTATTTTTATTATATCATTTTTATTTTCTTTTTATAAAATGTTCACATTTTCTTTAATTAAAGATTATTTTAGAAAACTAAAAATTATATAAATTTTTTTCAGTTAACTAAAAATTAAGCGAATAAAACTAAATTGCATTCCTGCATTATGAAAATAAAATATAAAAAAAAGTTAAGCTTAGTGGCAACAAAAATTTTTAAGAAATTATCGACGTCTTTCAAGAGTATAACATAGTATCGTATCGTATAAACAGCACAATTTTAATGTTATAATTAAATACTTAAAATCTAATTAAAACTGCCACATGATATGAAATTTAAAAAGATTCAATTAATGAGTACAATGCTAAAATTTTTAACTAATTGCTAGCTGGACTTCCTGATCTTGAGCTCGAATCTTCGCTAGAATTATCATTTTTCTCATCCTTTCCATTTTTTTCATTCTGCTCTTCGTTCGTACTATCTTCTTTTCTTTCATCTTCTTCCTTATAAGATTTATCATTCTTTTCGCTGTCACTTCTATCATTTTCATCCTCATTATCATCCTTATCAGATTTTTCATCCTTAATAATTTTTTCATCTTTTTCTTCTTCTTTATCGCTATCATCGATTTTATCTTTTTCCATTTCAATTTCTATTTCTCTGTCCCTGTCCTTTTCTTTCTCGCTTTCCTTTTTCTCTTTTTCCTTCTTAACTTCTGATTTTAATACAGTTGAACCATTCTTTTTATTTGTATTTTGTTTTGATAACGTCGCCACTTCTTTCAATAATGATGCTACTTTTTTATTTAACAAATCAACTTTTAATTCGTATAATCTCTCCATATCCTTCATTTTGTTACGCATTTCATTTTCCTTATCGAAATTTTTTCCTTTCAACTCTGTTATCAGTTTATCTTTTTCCAATAACTCTTTATCTTTTTGATTAAGCCTACGCTGCAAACTTGCAATTTGCTCTTTTAGTGTTGTCATTGCTACTACATGATCTGAACTGTTTGGATCAATTGTAACTGCTGCTGCAAAAGTATTAGTATTATTTACAACTGGTCTGCTACTTGCAGATTTTTCCGGTACTTCAACCTTGTTTGAAGATTGCTTTGCTATATCACGATGAAGCTTTTTTGTTGATGAATTTTCTTTAGTTCTTTCTTTTTCTGGATGAGGACGCTTCTTTGTACTTAAACGACTATCTCTTTCAACTTGACGGGCCTTGGCTAAAGCCCTCTTATATGAACAAGTACACAGCCAACATAATAATTTACCATCAATCTTTTTATTTTCATCTCGCCTATCAAAGGCACATCTTTGCTTGCATTGATCGCATGCAACTGCTGGACCGTATTTAGCTTCAGAACTAGCACATCTCTGACATTTGTTCCCAATAAAAGCTGCAATGATATTGCATAATTCACAAGCAGATGGCTTACCATGCTGTTTTATATTTTGCTCACATCTTTTACAAATAGCTGATGTACTACTTCTACTAATTTGTTGAAATTCAGTTCGACAATACGTGCATTTAACAATCGGGTAACTTCCTCGACAATCTTTACAAAGTTGCTGACCAGCAGAAAGTTCCTCAAATGGATGACGTGAAAAACATTTTGAACAAGCAAATAATACTTTTGTACTCATAACTCTGTACTTGATTTATTTCAAATATCTAAAATTTTAAAATTATATTCAAGTAATCTGTTTTGTTTAAATTTGTCAAAATAAACTTACAATTACAAAGAAAATTTTTTATTAATGAAATTTATTTGAACTTGACACAGAAAAACCCAAGCCAAACAAAAGTCATTTAAAAATTTTGTTTCAAAATTGTTTTAAAAATTCAACTTTCTATTTTTTATATCTTACCTTAGAAACAACTCGTAAATAATTAAAGGTAACTAATCTTTGAAACAGAACTAATTATTTTTTGAAATAAAATTAATATTTTTCACTTCAAATGAAGACTTCTTTTTTTTTGCGTTTAACAAGGCGAATATCAAGCACAAATTTTGACATTTCACACATTTGCAAATGATACTGAATAGTGTTGCCGTAATTACTAACACGCAAAATTTCCAGATATATTTAACTTAGCCTCAAATAACTACGTGTTTAACTAATTTTAATAATTTAAAGATTTCAGATGCAGCTTAGTGAGTTAAATTTAAATTTTTTTTATTTTTACTTCACAGTTTTAATGCAATACAATATATGTAGATAACATACGTTTATTTATATTTTTATAAATAACATATTGTATATAGTATAAATAATTTTAAAAATTTATTTAAATTAATTTCTAATTTAAAATTAAAAAAATCAATGTTTATCGTTAAAAACCAGTAATTTTTAAGAAATGTTTTCAAATTTAGTTTTTCTACGATATAAAGTACTTTATTTAAAATCAAGCACTTATTCTGAATGAATATGCGTTGACATTTTATTTTTTGAATCGAGTATGTTACAATATAGTTGCTTACCCAAGACTGATTTCTGCACACGTTTTCTCTTGTTTATAAAATATTTATACTAATAGAATTCACTTGAATTTTTATTTTGCTAATATATTTTATAAGCATACTTTAAGTACGATCAATTTGTAACTTTTGTAATTTTTTAAATTAATAGCGCTTTTTTACGTACAAATAAAAAAAAGAATATTAGAGACAGAAATTGCCGTGTGTTTTGGAAAAACTTGTATTGACAAACAGCTGATTTGAATTTGCGGCTTTGAAATTAGTAATATATATATGAGTTCACATAGGCATTTTTTTTAAAAAATCTGTAAGAATAATTTTAGTTTGGTTTACGGTTTAAACTCTCTAACTTTAACGTTCCATGAAACATATTAGGAAACATTTATAAAAAATTATCATATGCTAAATTACAGTTTATAATAAAAGGAATTTCGCTTTCACATGCCGGAATATGAGTTTAATAAATCATTTATAAATTTAAATTTTCAGAAAATTTATTGATATTAGAGCGACAAGTTCGATGAATTTTGCAGTTGTTTTTAAAATTACAAGTCACAATGTTGAAACTAAGATGTACATATTTATATATATTTGCAGTATCTCATTTTGACAGCGATTGTAATAAATGGATTTGAAAAGAGAGGTAAAGGAGACGAAATTCTATGTTTTTACCGTGAATATATCGGAACATATTTTAAAACGTAGCGATCAAAATAATCTATAATAATTTGTTAACATGGTTAGCATGGATATCGTTATGCTTATAAGGGCTACGCTTTATTATTTTATCTAAGTTTGTATTGAAAAATTAATTGGCTTATTTTTGTATTTCTATAGGTAATGTACGTAATGCTTACAGTAAATTTTATATAGTGTATACTCATATGAGAAACATACAGATGTAGTTATCTTACCAAATAGAGTTACAAATTAAAAAGCTTACAAAAATTTATCTAAAGAATTCTTTGTTATAGAAATAAAAATGTCTAATTTAAAGGCTTCACTTCGACTGCATTAAAAATTAAAAAATGAAGTCCTTCTGGAAATTGTTCATTGGGTTATTTTTCACTTTATTGTTTGGAAGATTTATTGAAGCTTCAATTGGTGATAATACTCAATTTTTCCAAAATTGTAAAAGGAATTGCGAAAATAATAATTGCACTAAAGGTATTTAACTTTTTTTATGTTTATAATTTATAATAATGTTACATTGCAGATTTCTTAATAAAACCACATGCCATTGATTATTTCAAACAGTCAATGTTTGATAAACTACTTGGCTGGACATGTAATGATGAATGTCAGTACGATTGTATGTGGAGAACGGTTGAAGCTTTTAAATCACGCAAATGGAATATACCTCAATTTTATGGCAAAGTAAGTTTTAATGATTTTAATTCTTAATTTATATTACAACAATAATTCCGTCCATAGTGGCCATTCGTCAAATATTTGGGATTGCAAGAACCAGCTTCAGCTATATTTTCGTTAATGAATTTATTTTCACATTACTTTCTGTTAAAAAAATTTCAATTAGAAGTACCGAAAGAAAGTCCTTGTTATAAATTGTGGCATACGTTCTCTATAGTAAGTAAAAACTTAATGCATACAAAACTTAATTTATGTATTTTTCAGGTTTGCATGAACGGATGGATGTGGTCAACAATATTTCATGCTAGAGACTTTCCTACAACAGAATTTTTAGATTATATTTCTGCATATTCAATTGTTCTCGTTAATTTATATTGTTTTTTTATTCGTATGTTACACAAAAAATCGTTTATTTTGAAAGGTGTTATAACAGCAGGAACGTTGTCATTTTATATAAATTATTGTATGTATTTAAAAGTTGGTCGTTTTGATTACGGATTTAATATAAAACTTAATATTATAACTGGTATAAAACTTTCTTTATGAAATTTATTAAAATCGTCTTAGTTGTTTATAATTTCAGGGGCTTTTGCTGGTGTTGGTTGGTTAGTTTGGTGTTTTTTAGTTCGTAAAAATAGACCTTATTTTAAGAAAATCATGTTGTTTTATGTTTTATTAGCGTTATTTAGTGGTCTTGAAGTATTAGATTTTCCTCCACTTTGGTGGACTTTTGACGCTCATGCATTATGGCATTTGTCTAGTGTACCATTAACATACTGCATCTACAGGTAATGTATACGCATATTCGATTTGTAAATGTCTTAAATTAATATTATTCATTTTTTGTAACAGTTTCGTTATAGATGACTGTAAATCATTGTATAAAGAAGGGCTTTACAACAACGAAAAAAAAATATAAGCCGATATACATATGTATGAATGCGAAACCAAAAAATGAGTTGAGATCGGCCACGTTCTTAGATTTTTGAACTTAGATTTTATGTATCTTGTATCTTCCATTTACAATTGGTTTTCTGAAACTCAACTTCAAAAGTTTAGGGCTTTTGTAAAATGTTGAAGAAAATTAAAAATATAATTATGTGAAGTTTTCAGTTTTAATTTGGGCAAATAGAAAACTAGGCGAAGTATTTTAAATACCTTTTTAAACATTCAAAATATTGTATAACTTTTTTACACATTCAACAAATATTTTATAACAATATCAAATAAAAAAAATCTATTACATGTGTATTAAAAAAATATATTCAAAACTTTAATATATACCCCAATTTTAAATGAAAAATACATTGATATAGAAAAATCATTTTTTTATTTTGTATAAAATAAAAACAAAAAAAATATGTAACTCTCCTCCAACTTTAATAATTTTATTTAAAACCTATGTAAAAATAGATATGAAGTAAAACAATTTAAATAAAATATACAAAAATAAACTTTCCCCATTTATAAAAACGTAATAAAAATCACTTTGAATTAAAAATACTGAGTTTAAATATAACAGAATCAATAGGTCGTGGTAAGATAAAATAAACATCAATAAAAACATAATGTTGACTTTTTACAAATATAATTTTGTTCCACAACTTTTTTATAATTGAAGTATAATCGGATCACATTTTAATTTTTCTAATATCTTTATGAATCAACAGATATATCAAAACTGTTTGTTTAAATTAAATTTCGTATCAAAATACTATCTGTACCACCAATACTTATACTTTCAACTAACATGCATATTGTTTATTGCAAACAAATCTAGAGGTTTGACTTCATAAAGGGTTTGAGATATAAATGAAAAGATTTATTGACTGGTTCTTGATTTAAAGGACTTTTTTGTGCTTCTTCAAATATTCTGTCATACACATTACCATCATAGCATCCTAATGCAGAACCCAATACAATGTCAGGTAAATCAAAACCATCCACTATTCCTACGGCATTTGGACGAATTTTATGTAATAAATCTTCTAATTTTTTTTGTAAATTTTGCAAATCATCTTCTTTAATATCAATGAATCGCAATAAGTCCCCTAATCGATTAAAACATGAATCAACTGCGTATAATTCCATTAATTGTATTAAAACTTTTCCCAAAGCTGGAGACACGTTCTTAACTGCTTCTTGTATTTCACTCCAGGCGGATGATAAGATAAAAGCGCGACAATGTAAATCAGCAGCCTGAGTTAATTCTATTCCAGTCATGTTAGAAGCTTCTTCGTGACTTAAACCAGTGGCTTTTCTAGCTTCTAAGTGCTCGTATGCGACCCGTATTTTATTTGCGGCAACATAACGGAAAGCTTCCACAATCGATGGAACTGTTCCATCCCAAGTTGCAAACTTTTTTAACTTGATTGCGTCAGCTAAATATGCTACAGTTGGCGTTAGTTTTACTTGTTTTAGGGCTTGCTCCCAAGCTTTCATTAAAAATCGCGAAGTTTGCAAAAGCATAACAGTATTTTCACCCTCATAAGTACAAGCAGCTGTGGTATTTCCGTATATAATTGGAAAATTAGAGCAGTTCAAATACCCATGACCACCGCATGCCATTCGTAACACTTCTACTCCTGTGGATGCATCAGAAGTGCAAACAGCTTTTAAACAACATGATAGGGCATGTAATTCTGGTAAGCGCTCTAAATTTCCCTTTTCCAGTTCCGCACTTACATTATTGTACATATTCCATATATAGTCTGCACTTAATTTAAATGCTATGGTTTTTGCTATATAGGGAAATAATTTTAGTTGTTGCGTGAAATGATCTATAACTTGTGGCTCAGGCTTGTTAGGATTAATTGGACTTTGCCTTCGAATTGCTGAATATCTCGTTGCAATTGTTGAGCACTTTGCTAAGTTACTTGCTGTATCTCGGACAATTACCACGCGGACAAACATCATGGTACCTTAAAAATATTAAATTTGACTAAAATACCATTTATGCCATTGCAACACCTACCATAAGTTAAAACCGAAGTAGAAGGTTCCACAAATGTGCCATCTTCTAGCACTTGAGCATTTTTCATTAGCATATTTGTTCGCGGAATTCGGACATTTTCAAATCCTAAATACCCATTATTTACACCGTTCATCCCCAATTTTGCACCAATTTCACCAATTTTTATGCCCGGCATAGGCATATGGGTTTCCTCGTCTCTAAGTTGTACTATAAATGGTTGAATACCATGACATTTTCCTTTGGTATAAAGTTGCGCGACAACAATAGCGTAATTTGCTGTGTGTCCTAAACCGCCAGGCCACCATTTATAAGACGTTAATGTTGGGCTATTCAAAACAAATTCTTTTGTTTTTGGATCATAATCAGCTCTTGTTTCCAAACCTTAAATGCAAAATGTGTATATTTAGAATTATGAATAACTTTTTTAAAAAACCTCTAATAAAAGTTCCATGTCCTAATTCAGTTTGTGCATATGTGCCAATTATGCTGCAGTTCCAAGCTCGTGTCAACCATTTTGATTGTTGCTCGAAAGTACCTTGCCCCATTATTGTAGGTAAGAACATTACATAGTGAACACTTAATGGATTTCCTTGTTTTAATAATCCTGAGCCCAAAAGACCGCCAAGCAGAGCCCTGCATTTTTATTATATTACTTTATTATATCATTATTTCTTTTATTCCTTACATATAACTGTCAATTCCATCATTGTATTTAGATTGCAGTTCTTTTAACTTAGTAACCATTTTAAGTGATTTTTTAACACTGTGCTCGTATAGTTCCTTGTGCGACATATAAGATACAGGAACGTCATCTTGAAGCTCAAAATCACTTAGAAAAAAATTCTCTAAAATGTACATTAAATAATTATATATATATTTGTATATATATATATATATATATATATATATATATATATATATATATATATATATATAGGAACATATAAATACACATTATATTATAATTTATATTATGAGTTGTACTTTAAATAGCAGTAGGGTGCATAATTATGTAGGTAATGCATATTTATAACATAAGGCAAGTATAAATTGCCTGCCCTCAGTTACTTATAAACATTGTACATACCTACTTTTTACAAGTTTTTCTTAAATAAATCTAAAATAGCTTTAATCTTCTTTAATATATTATTGTAATGTAATAAATATTAATCTTCAATTGATAAGTCTATCTTAGGAGAAAACTGATAAGAAGTACATATACATACATACATATACTATTTATGAGCAAATATCCGTTGTTTTTAACAAACCATAATGAATAAGCAAAATTGCCCTAGATTTTACAATCTAATTTTTGGAACTTTTTTTATGTTTTAGATTTACTTGTGTATAATTTCATTAAATATGTATGTAAGTAGGTAGTTATTTAAAAAAATTTACGTAATTTTACATGTAAATGTGGCAGCCTTGTTTAGTTTGAGATTTAAATGTAAATTTCGCAACCTTTTAATTGAAAAATTCAATTTAACTTAGATTAAATGGCTTTGAGTTAAGTAAAACTAAAAATGTTGCACTAGCATTCGAAAAGTAGAATGATTTAATTTAATGCATGAAATGAAAGTAACCTTCGCTCCCAATAATTTTGCAAACACAAAGTAATTAAAAGCAAATTTTTCGGACAGAAATCAGTAAATTTACCTCTCAATCTCTTTTCCTCTAATTTTTTATATCCTCCATTCCACCAAGCTGCTAATTCCTCAATATTAAAATCGCATTTTAAACGTTCTCGAAGAAGATCTGGATTAATTTTTGATTTATTTTCTGGCATTTTTACTTTCTTTAAGTATTCTTCCACTATATGTACAAGTTGACTACTATAAAACTATTGAACACAATATATTTATGTACATATGTTAAATCTAGTTTTTAACAATTCGTAAGCTCACATGAAGTATAAATCTTATCTCTAAAATTTTGACGTTAAAATTAATTTAATAACGACTATTAATTAACATACATTTAAAAACTTTAAATATATATGTACATATATATTTACTTTTAACATTTCAACATTTTTATAAATCTTATAGAATATAGAACATTGCAATGTTAAAAAATTATTTGACATGTTATGCATTTATAAAATGCTTGTGTTACATTATATTGTTTAATATTATGGTCTAAAAATTTACAAGGTGGCTTTCAAGGAAAATGACGTCATCAAAGAGATTTTATTCAAAATTGTATGCATTATTATCGTTTATTTATTTCAAAGGAATAGAGAAAACGGAATACTCAAACACATATTGGTAGAAAATTATTAGTGATTGGAATAAACGAATAAGGTAAATTTCAGGTGGGATTGTATTATTATTTTAACTTTAGATTGAACAAAATTAAAGCGGTTAGATGGAATAAAAGCTTGCAAAGTTTGCTTTGTACATACTAGCTTAATGATCCAGGTAAAATTTTTAGGAATACATATTGAGAACTTTCAGACGACATCACAAATCAGTTCGATTTTGTGATTGTCAAAAATTTTTGTACTTAAAAAAGTTAAATGGTATGGAGAATTAAGAGTATGTACATGTTGGCAAATATGATATGCATTTAAAAATGTTCAACAGCGAATCTACAAGATCAACTTTTTCTAAACAACACAATGTGCATATTTATTACTTTATTACAAACAAAACTACTTTTTGAAGGTCAGCTTTGCGCAAAAATTTTTATATATTGTTAATAAAAATCACTTTCAAATTTTCATTTTCATGCAATTAAATATATGTGTATGAATTTCGAATTGAAATTATTAAAATTACGAAAATCGTTTATTTTAATCTGTATGTAAGCATTATGTTAAAAACTCTATCTGATACTTTGTTTAAAAACACTTTGCTTTACTTTTGTACTTGCAAACTTTTCTTTTTTAGCCTGATTTGGATCTAAAGCAAAGCAATTCCATAGTCTTAAAGTTTCATCGGCTCCAGCGCTAATAACTGTGCTCCCATCAGGCGACATTGCCATTTGTAAAATACGAGAAGTGTGCCCAGTTAATTCAGCTTGCTTAATCATCGAAGGATATTTCCATATTGTTAATTGATTATTAGCATATCCATGAGCAGATATTAGTTCTTTATAATTTTTTGACCATAAAAGTGAACATACTTGGGATTTAGTATCAACAGAATTAATCAAACAACCATTACTAACATTCCAAAATTTAATATGCCGATCAGCCGTGCCACCCCCAGTAGCCAAAATATTTGGAATCCATGGACACCATGCTAAAGCTCTAACAGCAGCTTGATGCTGGTTGAAAGTATATAGGGGTTCAGATCCGGTTACAGAACCTTCTGTTGCAGTTGACCATATATTAACGATATTATCATTCCCACCGCTGGATAAATATTTAAAATCTACTGACCATTTTAATCCACAGACTTCTTGAGTATGAGACCGTAATGTTAGTATATTGTGATCACGTTGCCTTACATCGTGGTGAATTATAGATCCATCACGACTTCCTGAAGTGCAGATATAAGAATTCCATGCTAATGAACCAACTCTTGCAGTATGACCTTCCATTACCCGCAAACGTTTAACTTTTGAACAGTCCCACAATTCAACAGCTCCATTATTATTTCCAATAGCTAATATATGACCATCTTGAATCCATGCTAAAGAACAAGCGTTATCACCTTCATCATATTCAACTAATTGCTCAATATTGCCAGTGCCTGCATTCCATAAATAAACAGCATTACCTAGAGCTACCGTAACAATATTATCACAACTCCAATCCATTAAATTTAGATAATAATCGTTTATAATATCTGGAGCATCCAAAATTCTTTCTGATGTTGTTGGAATATATCGAGAACCGCTTTTTGAAGAGATCGGAGTTTTAATTGAATATACCACTTTTAGTGGATTTTGGTGTGATTCTGGAGCTGCAGGGGCTTTATTTTGATAAGATAAAATCTTTTGAGTTTTAATATCTCCAACTTGCAATGTTTCTGAAATTAATTTTTGTCTTTCAGCCTTAGAAAAGGATGACGCCCCTGTCTCATTTTCTTCTTCAGAATTTTGATTTTCTTGCTTTACCAAATAGTGTCCAATTTCGAAGTTAGTTGCACCTCTGTTAGGGATAAAACGATCGCCGGCTGTTGGAGTTTTGGTTACTTTGCTTGGTGTTTTGGTGCGTAATTTCCCAGGAGTTTTAGAGTTTCCAACGATTTGAATTGAAGACACATTAGCATTATTCTGAGTTTGTGATATACTCAAAGTTGATAAATTTATACTAGCATTACTTATACTGCTGGCATTCACTTTATTCTTCCACCTTGGTGCAGGTCCTTTTGTCAAATCTCCTTCCATGGTAACTATACTATTCAGGTCATTTATAAAATTAAATTGCGACATTTTGAAATTTTTTATTTTTTTGTCTCTATTAGTATTAACAATAAAAAATTTGTGATTTTAAAATTTCTATTTTCAAACTGATTTTGGATTTCAATTCATTTGAATAGATCAATGGCGGCTTGTTTAAATTTGAAAATACGTCAAATATATCGATATCGATAACATTTGTTTTAAGAATGAATCCCTCTAGACACGAAAAATTGTAACTTACGTAATGGATGATGGTGCTATTTATTTTCGCATGAAAAAGTTTGACAATCTAAAAAACTTTTTTAAGAACTGAACATTTTAATTTTCAATAGTACCTAAACATACATATGACAAAATTATTGCTATACTAAGTAACATTTCTATGGAATGATGCAAAATAAAAGAATGCTTTTATTCACTATTACGCAGAACTCTTGTCATTAATTTTTAAGGAACATTTAAATTTTGTAGTTTCAGCAATTATTTCTCATCCCTATTTCATTTATTCAAGTAATTTTAGAAAAATGGCAGAAAATACCCTCTGAATTAACAGAAACACTGGTTGAATCTTTGCATTTGAGATTAAATGCAGTATTTAAACCAAAGGAGATGCATACCAAATACGCATTAATTCATATTGTTTTTCAAAAAATTAAAACATTTTTTGTAACTAGGCGGTTTTTTGACACCTAAAAACGGCTGTATTTTTCAATTTGTTTAATTTTGGTTTTGTTATTGTTTTTTTAATGTTATTTTTTTTCGTAAATTTTGTTAATAATTGAGTGAACTTTTAATTTTATAAATTTATTTTTTAAATTGCATAAAAATAAAAGATATTAAGAGTTAACAAAAAAGATTCTACTGAGCGGTTTTTTTTGACGCTCATATCTTGACTCCAAAACTGCCATATGGGTTGTAATTGCTAAAATAAGGTAACAGTACAGTTTACTGCAAATTCCTTATTTTCAGAGAAGGAAAACCAATTATGGGCATTCCTTGAGAAACTTCTGAGATTTTTTACATACTCTAAGTTTCCTTTCAAATCAATACTGTGCTTTATGCTAAAGTTTTGGAGAGCATTTCCAAATTTATAAATTCCAAAATACTTTGCTAAAGCAAACAGAAGAAAAGTCATTTTCATTTCATTGAAACTGGATAAATTCATTGATTTTGGTTGTAAAATTAATTCGGAGTTACTAACCCATTTTACACGCATAAATGTGCAATTAAAATTTTTCAAATATTTAAAAGTTTTGTAATACGTTGTTCTTATATATGTTCATATATTTAAATATTAAAAAGTTATTGTTATTTTAATGTATGAACATTTTTATATTCCAAATTATTGTACTTTGATTTCACCTTACTTTGCTTAATGTTATTGGAAACAATCTTTTCAATCGATATCAAACCTTTTTCAATTTTTTTGTTATATTTAATTCCATGAGTTTTCATATGAGCATACAGGCCTGTGAACAAATGATAAGCTCTACCACAAATTTGGCATATATGATCTTTAATTCCAGAGTGTACTTTCTTATGCCATTGCAACGCATTTTCTCTTGGAAATTTTGCTGGACATTCATCGCATGCAAAAGGTTTTTCTCCAGTATGGCATATCATATGGCTGCGTAAGGTGTAAGGATCATAGAAACTTTTATTACATTCTTTACATTGGTGAATCCGACCTAAAACATGATATATTTTGAAATGAGCGTCTAACTTACTTTTATGCAAATATTTTTTTCCGCATTTTGGGCAAGTAAATTTTCTTTCATTTGTATGAAATGCCTGGTGATTTTTTAAGGACTTTTCATCAATAAAACCTCGTCCGCATTTATCAATATCACATATAAAAGGTTTTTCTTTTAAATGAAAAATTTTCATATGATTTTCCAGACTCTGCTCTTTAACAAACACTTTAGTACATCGATCGCATGAATACTTTTTTCTATCTTTAAGGCTATGTTTCAATTTGATATGATTATTCAAATTGTATTTTGTAGTAGATTCTTTACCGCAAATCTCGCAGACATGTTTTTCATATTTACGTGCGTTTATAATTTTAGATGATTTCAAATTATCCTGATGTTTTGAGAATTTTTCAAAATTCAACATTATATCATCCTTAACAATATTAACAGGATGTTTAAAATTACCTAAATTTTTATCACAAATTAAATTTTTCCGTATAAATTCCGAATGGTCTATTAAAGCTGTTTTTTTAATCTCTACGCTTTCAGAAAATGGAATATATTCTTGATTAAAATCAGTTCTCCTTTTAATACAGCTTGGTTTATGATCTACATTAGAGATAACGTTTGTTTGGTCAAATATTTCCTTTTTTTGTATAGATTGATTGCAATCTTCTAAAGTATCCCTCCTAATTATTTCGTTTAATACCGATTCCGTTTCACCTTCCGCAATTCTTTTTTGTGCTAACATGTACTCTAAAAAACTATTTTTTTCCAAATGTATTCTAACGTCTTTTTTTATATTAAACTTTTTCAAAAGTAGAGTATTTTCTTTTGATTCATTGTAGCAAAATTTATGTTTCGTATGAGATAATGGTAAACTTGAAGAACTTCTTACGAAGTTGAGGCTACAATCTATTTCAATGATTTTTCGAGTTTTTGGATTTTCATTGCAACGGCTTGAAATATGATTGCACAGGACATGTTGTAGAAAGTAAGCATTTTGGAATTCTTTTCCACAAAGAACACAGTTCCATCGAAACCTACCATCTCCAGCGACAAATACTTCCCCACATTTATAAAATTCTGTTTGATTCTTTTTTTTTGCAATTTCTTGAAATTGAAGTTTTGGTTTATCCATTAGAATTTTTTTAGTTTTCAATATTTTACTTAAAAGAGAAATCAAAATAGATCTATATAAATGTTTTCATTAATTTTTCTTCAATTTTTTTTAAATAAATAAAGTGTAGCTGTCACGATATTGTCTTTTATTGTCTTTTTTTTTTGCTGTTTATTTTTGTTATTTTTGAAAACGTAGGCAATGCCAATATATGATGTAAATCTTAACCAAATATAAATCATTTTAATTTGTGTCAAGATATTTTAATTCAAATTTACAAGTAGAATTTCAAACTAAGTTCTTTAACTAGAAAAAATTAAAAAAAAAACTAATTTAATTTTAATTCTTTATTATCAGTTTATTTTTATTCGTTGTAGCATTCTCAACCATATTCAGAAAAAATTATATATTTTGAATTGATTTAAAAGTTTCGGCTATAAATATTTTTAATGTAGATATAGTGATAAAGATAAATAGATAGATTTTTATTCTTTAAATTTGGAAAATTAATTTTAAATGGAAATTTTCAGATTTATCTATATTATACAGAAATTTTGTTATGGATAAAATAATATGAAAACTTAGATTTGGTTTAAAATTAGATCTTTATCTCGTGTGTTCGGTCACTAAGATATGAAAGGAGTTATTTAAATATTTTTCATACCTAATCTGAATATTATGAGAGATCTTTTATTTTAATGTCAAATTTTTTTATATTTAATAAAATATATCTCTGTTAATATGAAATATAATTTGATAGAAATTAAAAATTTTAAAAACCAAATTTTTAGTGCCAGCTTTTTTTCATGAAGTTGCAGCTGTCTCTAACACAATATTTTTAGGCAATGTAAATGTAAAAAATATACAAAAAGTGATGTTCTCCACAGTCTAAAGCACATCTTTAAATTCATAATTTAAATAATGCTTTTTTTACTTTAGTGCAGATGTGTCTTAGTTGATGTTTCAAAATGACAATAATATGTATTAAATTATATAAACATTTCTCTACGAAGCAAATTCGAAATTTAAATCTTAAAAGAAATTTAACCTGGAACGGCATCTTTTAATTGAACAAATTTATAGTTTCACAAAAAAGAATTGCAAAACGCATTTACCTTCCAACCACCTTCTTTCGTTTATTATTACATTCTTTTCTCACTGGTAGCCCTAGACAAAGTACAATATTTGCGACGTTTATTTGACAACGAGTGAATGACATTTTATAGGCAAATTTGGCATAGGAAAACAAGGAAGAAAAATATAGGAAGTTTTCAATCAGTTTATTATGTGAAATATAAATACAAAAAATACAAAATAAAATTATTTATTCATAGAAATTAATGAATTTAGTTCAAATAATTTGAAGCCAAGTAATAATTGATTTTTTCGTTTTAAGAAAAAAATTACCTTTTTACCAAAAATATTTACGAAATGATGCAAATCTTTAATTAGGTACATATTTTTCTGGGTAAGTATTGGCTAAATTTAGAAACTAGTGAAAAATAATAAAAATTGGTAAAAACTTAATAAAAAATGGGGGCAAGTGCTTAAAATTAAAAAAATGAAGAAAATTAAGAATACAAGAATTTTAAATAAGCATATAAATATTTGAAATATAATTTAAGTAATGAAGTATTGGAGAGATATAATATCTACATATGTACTTACTAATTATAGAGCTTTATTAAATTTAGTGAGCTCAACTTATTTTACTGAAGCAAATATAAATGACTTTGTGTCTTTGATTTTTGGGGCAGAGTTTTCTAATAAATTGATCCGGTATTAATAACTGTGTAGGTCAATAGTTTTCTTTTTATTTTTCCCGGAAGCTAAATGAAAAATTGCGAGGTAGACCAAAACAATTATTCGGCAGTGTGATTGACTCATAAATAAGAAAAAATTTGAATCGAAACCCAATTCTATTCTATTTATTTAAAAATGTCGACAAGAATTCAATAAAAGAAATACATATGTATGTATTAATATCAAATATTCTAAAAATCTTATCTTTTATAAAGTTAAGATAAGTAATTCGTAGTAATGGCATAAATTTTTAATAGAAGGAAGCAACTTACATACTAATAAAGAAAATGTCGGACTTTGTTTCGCAAAATATGCTTCCTGATCTTTGGGAGGATATTCTCCAAAGACATTGGACTTATTTGGAAACTGAAGAAAGCATGCTCAAACTTGATGAACGAAAAAAGCTTGAAGGTAATTTTTTTTATCTTATATAACATAATACTAAAATTAATATAAATTTTAAATTCATAAAATTTCCAATCTTTCCCTATAAACTAGGTTGCCTTAAACAGTTCCTTTGCATAGTACCACATGATAGAAAATTTTTCCTACCCGAAACATCATATGTACTGAAAAAATCCATTGAGGAAATGCCCGACTTTTCTGCGTATAACGCAATGGTTGGTTTTGAATCAATTAGCCAATATGCAAATAACTTGTTCACAAAACCTTGGAGAAAAGAATATAAAGTTATAAAAGTAATTTCGATTATAAATTTTGAATAAATGAGAAAAATTGCCTTTCTAAATAAATATACAATTTAAATTTCTCAGATGTACTCAGGATTCTACCAACATGAAATCAAATCCAAATTACTTTACGCTGAAAAATTATTTGAAGCAATGGGTTATAGGCAGTTTAATCAACTATTAGTTCTTGACGGTCCTATATGCCCAGATCAAGTTACAAATGTTTCCAGAGATGCTATGGCTGCCTATGTCGAATGTCAAATTATGAAACAAATATTAAGTGGTTTGACATCTATGCAACTATCTTGTAATTGGCTAGATATATTTAAATTCCGGGAAACCCACATTAGTATGAGTTAATTTCATGCATAATGAAAAATGAGAAATATAATTGTAATTTTCCAGGTGGGCAAAGTCAAGCTATAAAAATGATGGCGCACGTACTTCAGGAAAAACGTTTTAGAAAGGAAAAATTGAATCAAGGTAAACATATGGTGTTTGTAAATTATTCACAATTTAATTTATTCATTCGAAAAGCTGTAATACAATATACATATATATTTTAATTATAGATTCGTGTTATGCAAGTAAACACCAACACATGTTGCAGCAGCAACAGAACTGTTATGCGAATTGCAATTCAGCTCTATGTCATTTTCAACAGCAGTCTAATACAAGCCATCAAATTCCGATGCAACCAATAAATCCCTGTCAGTTACATAATACTTCTCAACAACAACCGCCGACAGTTGTTCATAAATTTCCTCAACACTCTTGTACTTTACATAATAAGCATATACAGCCTTCTCAATCATCAATTTACAACAATAGTCAGCTAAATTATCCAAACTATCCTCACATGTCGCACTCAAAATCTCTGGAGCATTATAATGACTCCGTTACGAGCAGCATAATGCCACAGCGTCATTCATTTGATCATTATGAACCCACTTTTGATTGTGTTGATGCGGGGTGTAATTTCAATGTGTATAATCATCACCCTTATAATGTTTCTGGAAATAGATATCCTTTGCCATATAATATTTCAAACCAAATAATGTATGGTCAAGGTTATCATCATCAGCAACCAATTCCGACCCCTGTTCCATCCTCACATTCAAGTTTAGGAAACTTTAATCAAAATGGTCATCATAATAAAATTGATGCTTCGTCAATTTACGGATATCAGCAACATCCCTCTCAACAGTGCACTGTTGCTAACGGATCTAATCGACCAATAAAAACATTGTCGCATGAATCAAGTTGTAATGCACATGCACATGATGAGTATACTCCAAGCCAAAATCACAGGCGTTCTATAACGACTGCTAATTCTTTACAAAATGACCAACTTATACAACTAACGAACCAAGTAAAGGATAGCATGTACATTGATACAGACGATAATGACGGAAATTATATTTATTCGAAACCGCGCCATACTCAATCAAATTTGGCAAAAAAAGTACCAGTTGATATTCAAAAATTACATACTGACAATATTGAGGCGGCTAAACTTGTAAAGCAAAACTCATCTTCCGCAAGCGTCAGCAGTAAATCGTCAAAGTCAGCAAATAATAAAAACCAGGATGGTGTGGGTTCATTTGAATCATGGAACTTTGTTTTCCAAAATTTAGAAAAGCATGGATATTCCAAAGATCTTGGAGAGAGAGGTGACTTATTTATGCAAGGTTATTTTTTTGTTTCATTTTTCATTTCTTAAATTATTTATTTTAAGTAAAATTTTTTTTAAATATATTAGTATATTTATTTTCAAAAAGTATTCCATTGTGCAATTGCTCTTATATTTCATCAATATAATAGTATTGGTCCTAATATTTTAATTAATTACTTTTCAAGGACTAGATTCAAAAACAAATGATGGAAATAATATTGCTGGACATTCACCTTACGATGATGAAACTCATGCAACACCTCATCAAAACTCTTCCAAAAAAAATCGTGAAAGCTTAACAAGTAATATAATGACTACACAAAATTCAAAGCATAAAGATAAGCAAGATTTAAAAAATAATCATAGTAATGCAACTGTACTAAATAATAGAGAATCGAGTAGTATTAGAAAGTCTCATAAAACAAAAGTTATGAAAAACTCTGTAAATAATAATGTTGAAAATTATGTAGAAAATTTGAATTCATCGTCAAACAGCTGTAAAGTAACACTTGGTGAATGGAGCTGTAGATTTTGTACTTTCCTCAATCCGGATTCGAAAAGAATATGTGAGATGTGTGCAAGAAGTAAAGATTTTAACTTAGATGCAACAAAATCTTCAACAGCGACCTGTGTTTAAATTAAATACACTAAATTAAAACATAAAATAGATATAAGTTCTTAATATGGAAAATTCTTAAAATATATATTATTATACATGATGTATATAAAAAGTTTACAATAACCTATATTATATATGGACAACAAAATGAGAATGTATTTGAAATATTGCAATTATTGAACTAAAAGATTTATATTTGCATTAATTATATTCAAACACTGTTAAATACATTATTGTTTAAATCCTTCTCAATAACCTGTATAAAATTGGAAATCTTACTCCGCATTTCATGATTAATTTAATCTTTTTGTTGTTTATTTTTGCTCTTTAAATTGTTAAAACGCTAAATTGTTACAATTTTATTGTTCAAAATGTTCATTAAGAGGTTTTGTTGTAAAATGTTTTTGGAAATTAAAAAGTAAAATATTTATACATAAAAGTACTAAATATATTTAGATACCAACAAATATTTTTAAAGTTGAAAATTATGGCATTTTTATAAATGTGTGTAAAATATTTAACGAGCATGTTTAAAATATAATCAAATACAATACATATATTCTACTATGAAAAAGTTATGCTAAGAAGTGTATACTGATTATTAAATTATTTATTACTTGAAATTAGTTTATGTTTATAAATATATATAACGTTAACTAAATCAACTGAATCATATAAAAATATTTTGTTTGTAATTATTAGCCAATATAGTGATTACAAAAAAAAAAATTTAAACCTTATATAATAAACAGAAGTGAAATAAATAGAAGTACACTTTAAAAATGACAGTCTCTTTGTAAGGTATCTTGAAATTTTCCAGGTCAGTTTTTGTATTGAATTAAACTTAGGATAAAAATAATCAAACTAAAACAATTTTGATTTATTTAAAAATCTTTCAAAATTTGGGTAATGGGGTTATGTAAAATAATCATGCATGCAGCGTAAAAGATATGCTATTTATTTTTCTTTGGTGACATTTGATACAACATTTCCGAATAAATTACTTTGTACTAATATTTTTTCAAGTTTTTTTAGATGATAATATAACATTTCTAATAGAAGGATCCCCATAACGCTTTTGAACTTCATTGTGAAAAGCGTGTTCCATTTGATCACAAATAATATCAAAAAATAAATTCGCTATTTGACTATGAAAAACATTTTTAAATTCAAATAATACAATAAAATCGATAACACATGACTGAGGAATATCCCTTAATCCAGGACTAAACCTCCATTCATTTTTAAGATATTTAAATAAATGACCATCATCACATTCCGCTATAACCAAACTTGGTGGCACAATTTTGACATTAGAAGTATAAGACTCAGTTAGAGGTGAGAATCCAACAATTAGATCTGCTTTGTAATTATTTTTTTCTAAATTAAAACTATGTACGTTAGATTTTTTGACATATGGCACAAATTTTACATAGTTTTCAACATCAGAAACCACACTGTACATTTGTTCCATTGAATAGCTAAAAATTTAAAACTTTTCATTTAAACAAAAAAAATCAGTCATATTTGCTTACCCAATTATTTCTTTTTTAATATATTCTCGCCTTCGACTAGTAAAATTAATACTAAAAATGGAATTCGAGATATTTCTGGGTCCAGTACTATAATATATACAGATATATAAGTATATTACTATAAAAGTTTTTATGAACGTTTATAGGAATATCGTTATTATGCGAAAAGATGTTGATGAATTGAAAATAAGAATGAAAGATTAAGTGTATGATTTTAATATATTAATGCCCAACCTAAGGTTTTGGCAAATTTCTAAGCCGTTACAACTAATGCGTATGTGAAGGGTTTTTTTGAATTAATTTATTCAACTTTTTACGATTTAAATTCTATTTAAAAATTTTCAATAAAAAGCTGCTTCTCTTTTTAAAACTAAGATTTATTTCATAAACTTGGTTTCAAAGTTTTATTTTTACTTACCTCAGTTTTCTATTGTGAAGCAAATGTTTAAATAGTTTAATGTTTACAGTTTTATACATTTTTTAAGCTTAACCCAGGTCCTTATAATGAAAACATTAAAAGTTCTTTTTGTATTTTCCTTAAATTTAAATTATATAACTTTTATAAGAATGATAATATTTGGAGAAAGTTGTATTATTGTTTTGAAGCAGTTTTACCTGTAGATTTTTGACTGTTTGACTACATTTGACATTGATTGACAAAATATTGTATATTTTGGAGCATTTCAAAATTTGCTGAATAGCGCTGACTATTATCCATTAATAACAATGTTGACAGTTCATTATTATCACGTACTTTATACTACGTACTCTACGTTTTTTTCTTAATATTTTTTTTTCTTTTCTAAATTTTTTTTTGTTTAATTACTAGAAAAATTTTTTGAAATTTTACGTGTATCTTTGATATTTTTCATAAAGTTTAAGAAGTATACATAATTGAATAATTTACCATGAAGTCTAAGCGAGACCCTTAAAACCAAATAAATCGAAATGGCAGCACTCTACCTTAGAAGAATAACAAAGTGACATTTATGAATGAACGCATATACATAATGATATTTGAATGTAAACATTAAACAAAACCAAAGTATAAACAAAACATTCAATAATTTGGATAGTTTTAAAAATTATGTTTTATGTTTGAATACATTCTTAAGTCTCAAAGTTTGTAAAACAATAAAACATTTCATCATGCCCACATGGAATCAAATTCAAGCCCAGTTAAGAAACCCGAATAATGCGGTTGTATTCTTCGATATATCAGTGGGAACCACAGTAAGTTTTTCAAAAATTGTTTAATAAATAATTTTTTTAAAGTTAAAACAAATTATTAAAGGAATATTAGTAGAATGTGGGTTACCGATATAACAGAATTATATACGGCTATTTCTAATAAAAGTGCCTAGTTTAGATTTTAACGTTGGAGTTAACAATTTGTAAATTACTAACCTGAAAAAATTTATTCTCAGGAAGAAAATCAAATTCAATAAAATAAAATTGTACATATGTACAGATGTAACATATACCATTGGTTAAATGGTAAAATTTTTGTTTAGGACTAAATGGCTGTTCTGATTGAGTTTCCGAGAGTAGGGATTTTTGTTCTTATAGGGTCAAAAAAAAAACTATATAAATTATATGCCGAAGAACTTATTACTGAGTTAGTCTATATGTAAAGTAAATTATTATTTATACATGTATATATGTATATAAATGTATAAATATTAGCTTATATATATAAGATATAAAAGTATCATATCTATATATATATAAAGGTAAGATTTTAATAGAAAAACTTACATTGTATTACATGACTTTTTAAATATTTTTAAAATATAATGCATAAGCGAAAACTGAAACATTCTAGTAAAATAAATTGTTATAAATTAATTTATGCGTACCTAAAATTTTCCTGTTATTTAAATTAAATGCATAGATGCAAACCTATTTATTGAATAAATTAGTAGTCTTAATACTTCAATTAATATTTTATTATGATCATCATAAAGGAAATTGGTAGAATGATATTTGAACTTTTTACGGATATTGTGCCAAAGACAGCGGAAAATTTTCGGCAACTCTGTACGGGAGAATATCGTAAAGATGGTGTACCAATGGGATATAAAGGAGCTAGTTTTCATCGAGTCATTAAGGATTTTATGATTCAAGGAGGCGACTTTGTAAACGTATAATATTTTGAACGTTATACTCATTATTGTAAAATTTATAAAACAATTTTAATTTTAGGGAGATGGCACCGGTGTTATGAGTATATATGGGGGAACGTTCAATGATGAAAATTTTGTTTTAAAACATGATTCACCTGGCTTACTTTCAATGGCCAATAGTGGAAAAGACACAAATGGATGTCAATTTTTTATTACCTGTGCGAAATGTAATTTTTTAGATAACAAACATGTAGTTTTTGGTCGCGTTTTAGATGGATTACTCATAATGAGGAAAATTGAAAACGTGCCCACTGGCCCTAACAATAAACCAAAACTGCCAATTATAATATCTCAATGTGGTCAAATGTAATGATATCGAATCTAAAGTGTACCTACTAGGATATTTTTTTAATTAAATGCAACAATTGTATTATTTCAGAAATTCAGAATATTTATTTATGTTCGAGTATGTCTGGGTGAATGAGCTGGTTTATAAAGCTAGCTTAAAAAAATGGTTGGCAATTACTTTCCTAAAAATTTCTTTGAATAAATTAAAATCAAATTAATCATTCAACAAGATCCATTTGTGTATTAAACTTTACTTTTCATTACAAGGGTGCAGCAATTTTATCATTCCATTATAAGAGATGAAGAAGAGACGAATATTGGACTAATTGTGTACTATTAGCACAATTCTGTTGGAAAAGCGTTTAGCACAATTCTGTTGGAAATTTGCTAAACGCTTTTCCTTTTTCTGCTAAATGAAAAGACCATACTATTTCTTTCATTCAATTGTCAATTGCAATTATTTTCTTTTGTCATTATAAATTGATTTTGTTCAATATGTACATTCAAACATTATGTAGATTTTTTGCACTCTGAAGTGGAGATTGTTGAGTTTTGTTAATTGAAATTTTGAGTCGGAATTAAAATTATAATTCCAATTTTCGATTTGATTGGGTGCCAAAAATTTTTATGGAATCCATTTTTAAGTTCGCAATTTTTTTGAAAAAAAATTAACAAAAAAATAGCCGTGATTGCTCCAGAAATAGAATGAAATCAAATGAAAACATTTATGAAAATCAAATTAGAAATTGGTTTTCTATATTATCTTTTATAAGGACACTCAATTTTATTTTCTAAATTGAGAATTATCGAAATTTTGTAATTTGCTATGTCGGTCTTTTTGTCATACGGATTTGAGGTAGTTGTTACATACGTAGCAGTAAATAATAAGTAAATAGCACACTTTAATTCACATAACAACTTTCATTTCAAAATGATTACAAATATTTTTAAATGACTACTTATTGAACATGCCTATGTATATCTATAAGCTGTTACTTAGGCCGCGTTTTTGTCAGCCTAATAGAATTTGGTAAGACTACTTATGTTTACGTCTGATTTTGATGTTTAATATGTCATTTACACTTTTTTCTTACCTCTCTGAAGAGACAGGAAATACATAATTATTACGAATATTGTGCTCTGAAAAAATTAATTTAATTTTAACAAGAGTAAATTAATGCTATAGAAACTGAAAAATTGGGCCGGTTATGATATAGAATATACAAAAAAAAAATTAAAATAAAAATTTCAATGATGACTTCAAAAATAATTTGTGAAAAAATTCTGAAATTTATCGTGGAATGATCAAGAGAAGGTGAACATAAATGATTACCATTAATAAGAATAAGCCGAAGACGGTTTTATTTTCTGATAATGAAAGCATTTCAAGCAGTAAAATAATTAAAATAAAAAGTATAAACAAGCTGTCAAAGTGCTCTTTAAAAAAGGTAAGAATAGTAAATAAAAACAAATCTTAACACAGAAAAGGTTCTAGCGGAATTTCAAAAATTAAAATTTAAAGAAATTTTATTCTGTTTTTTAAGTCCCTGTAACTGCTTTTTATTTTGTTTCTAGTGAAAAACGTTGCGTGCGTAATATTAGAGTTATAAGAAAACCGGTTATTAGGAAAAAAGAAGAATTTTAGCAAACAAAGTTTTAAGCTTTTTAGAATCGAAAAGAAGTTACTAAAATTTTTGCTAATGAAATGTTGGATATCAGGTTTTGTTTTGGTTGTATTCGAGTTGATATGTTTACATTAATTTTTTCAAATATGTATTGCAATAACTTTTACACATTCAAAATAGATTTCTTAGAATTTTTTGAAGTATCTACTCTTATTTATATTCCATACAGTTACTTTAACAGTTCCAATGCACCTACTTAAACACAATGTCTTGTTTACTAATCATCTGTGGTGATAAAATATTATATTGTTGTATTTTTCAGAGTGAACCTTTGTTCTTTATAATAATGCGACTTAATTTAAAGGCTGTGTTACTGTGCTTGTGCTTAACAGTATTTTTAATTACAATATCAGTATACATGAGATGTTCAGATTTTGGTTTATCAAATGGATTTGTTCCACATTTACGAAATTCATTATATGGGAGTGAATCAGCTTCGTTGGTGGATAGTAACACAAACATTGAAAATATCGAATGTGTTATTAATCAGGACTACGCTATAAAATGCAAAAGAGATGTTAATGACGTTTATATTCCATTTTCATTTATAAAAAACTATTTTGAAGTTTTTGGTACCTTAATTAGTGAACCTTCACAGCCTACAAATGAAAACGGTGTAGATCATATCCTTTTAGTAAATAAATTTATGTGGTCTCACACTAACTCAAAAATAAATATTCCAAAAGGAAAATACGATCCCAAAGGAGTATACATGTATTTTGAAAACTATAACGTCGAAGTAATAAACAATTTTAAACTTTTCTTTACAATTTCTTTGAATTCATATAAATTTTTTTAAGGTACGCGATCGAGTGAAATGCGTAAGTGCAGCTGAAGGTGTTCCGGTTAGTACTCAATGGGAAAAACGTGGATATTTTTATCCGACACAGATAGCTCAGTTTGGCCTATCGCATTACAGCAAAAACTTAACTGATCCAGAACCTAGAAGAAAGGTAACTAATGTAAGATTTAATAATATGAATAAAATATAAATTATCAAGAATTTTAGGTTCTTGAAGATGCAGACGCAAATCAAATGGAATGGACCATTCCATCATCCAGTAATCTCACAAGAATTTGGCATTCTAAACTTAATACGACTGTTGTTAATTTTTTAACATCAAATTATTATGATAGTTCAATTAGTTACAATATGGATCATATATCAGATTTAGTATTAAGCATGGATATATATTTAATGACAAATAGTAGTAGTTTAATGGTTACATTACAAAATCGAGAAACTAAACGTACATTTAATTTATATTACATTGTTGCTGACCTTTTGATTAGTGTACAAGGCGAAAATATTTATTATGGGCTAGGTTCAAATTGTGTCAATCAATGGAAACATATAACACGAGATTTAGTAATTGATGTACAAAAAGGATTTATAGGCGTAGAAAAGAAAATGAAAATTCGTAGAAATGAATTAAAATTAACAAAAATTTCAATTTTGGGTGCAGGATTTTTTGATAATCTCACATTATCAACAAGTGACCATATAGCAAATTTTTATGATGCTGCAGAATGGTTTGTCAACCATCAAGACAAAAAAAGCGGAGGTTGGATTAATCCAGTTCGAAGAAGTTTATCAGGTTTTCAAGAACTAAAACCTGGTTGGTTATCAGCTATGGGGCAAGGTCATGCTATATCAGTTTTAGCAAGAGCATACTATCATTCTGGTGGAGATAAAAAATATCTTAAAGCCGCATTAACTGGATTGAAGCCGTTTCGTGTACTCTCAAGAGATGGTGGAGTTTTAGCAAAATTTATGGGTCAATTAGATTGGTAATATTGATTTTCAAACTCTAACTAAAATTTTTGATAGCATTTGTTTGTTTAAAAGAAAATAATTATTCGTTTAATTTAAATTTAAAATAAATTCCACGAATATTTAAACACAATTAAATACTATTTTGTAGGTATGAAGAATATCCCACTACGCCACCTTCATTTGTTTTAAACGGGTTCATTTATTCACTGTTAGGACTGTATGACTTAAATTGTACGGCTCCTGGTATAGTATCCAATAACGCTGGTAAATTGTTCAGGCAAGGCATGATTTCATTAAAGAAACTCCTGTTGCTGTATGACACTGGATCTGGCACAAGTTACGATCTGCGACATTTTACTTTAGGTTTTATTGATAAAATATAAATCTTTGTAACATTTTCATTTTAAAACTCGTTTTTAGGTCAATCACCAAATATCGCAAGATGGGACTATCATGCTACACACGTCAATCAACTTTTACTGCTAGCAACAATAGACAATTCTCCAATAATATCATTGACTGCGGAAAGATGGAAAAGTTATATGTTTGGTAAAAGAGCTAAACATAATTAGCGCCTTAATAATTGCAATTTAACATTATGTTATTTAAATGCAGAGTGTTTTCTATTTTTGTTTCGCTTTCTAAATCCAAAATGCAAACAACAAAAAAAAAAGTGTAACAATTGAAAAAAGCGGTTTAAAAAGATTCTTCAAAATTATTTTACACGGCACCTCTGGCGTTGTAAAGAAAAATTCAAGAGTTGAATTAATCTCGCTTGAATGTAAGTGGGCTCGTTTTGCCTTAGATTTTCTTGAAAATATAGTTATTTATTTGTTTACAAGAGTCTATGAAACATTTTTTAAACATACTTTAACTAATGAATATGCGAATGACTACAATATTTTTCGTATATATTATTTGATTTCATAAACTAATGAAGTACCTTAGATCTCTGTATCTAAAAATGAAATAACCCATATAATGAATTGTGTTAATGAATAAATATAATTGGTATACTATACAATTCACTTGTGTCGTGTAATTATAATCAATATAATTATATTGTTAATTTAAATAACTAATATATCTTTCAAAAACAACATATACGTAAGTAGAATTAAAAATGAAATAAATGACACTTTTATTAATTTTGTCAATTAGTTATGTTTTTTAATAAATTTTCCGGCTTAGTCTTTTTTATGAACTTTTGTAAATTACAAAATATATATATTTATATTTAATCTCACTTTTAATTTTGTAAACATTTTTCGAAGACCGTAATTAAACTTAATTTAATTTTTTGAAAATCGTAATTTGATTGGAAAAATAAAAGAAAATAACAAATTCTTAAACCATTTTCTAATCATGATCTATAAAAATTAACAATTTCTTTAGTTTATCTATTTATAAGGTAAATGGTATATAAAGATAAGTTAAAAAATGTTGCATAAAAATACTGATATATCAATTTTTTATACATAGTGTGTTAATCAGTATAATGCTAGATCGTAATATTTATATCAATTTGAATAGTAAAACAAAATTATAAATTTAGGTGAAGCTAATTTTAAAAAACTAATATTAGGATTAAATAATTGTAAAGTAAATAAATTTTTGCTTTATCTAAAGCAAAGCTATTTACCTTTAAAATGTAAAATTGTACCTTGTAAATCTGTATAACATAATATCATAAATAATATACTTAATAATTTTATATCATATCTTAAAATATAATGCTTTGTATAAAAAAAATATTTTAAAAATCCTGCCTTGTACTGGGACTTTATGATATAACTTAGTACGTACAACTATTTGTAAATAAGTAGACTAAGTTTCGACAAATAAATAAAAGGGGAAAAATTTTCTTGTATTAAAATAATCAACACTATTAATTTCTGTTGTTAAGTCTTTTTATCATAAAAAAAAATAAAAGAAAATGGGTTACTTAAAATTAGAAATATTAACTGAAAATAACTTTTTTTTATAATTTAAAACTTTAATTGAAAATATAATAATGTAGTCAATTATAAACAAGATTTGATAAGGTTATTTGGTGTTTTTATTACACGTTATTTTTAATCATCTGCCATGACTAATTCCTAATAAGTTAAATTGTTTTAAATTTAAAATATATAAAACTGTAAGTATTTTAATGTACTTAAAAACACATATTTATTTTTTAAATAAAAAAAATAATATTTTCTACTTATAATTAATGCTCTTCTAAGATAAAAATTATTTCATAAATTTTTATACGTATTTAATTTATTTTGAAAAATTAATTTGAAAAGTAGTTAAATAAAATATATTTAAATTAAATAAAATTTGTTAAAAAAAATCTATTTTTAAGAATACAACAGAAAATGTAATTCGCTTAATTATGAATGTATAATTAATTTTAGGTTTCTAATTAAAACTTTCAATATTTTTTATATTGTAAAAATTTCTATTTTTTTTAAATTTGGTTATATTTGATATTTTAATTTAGGACTACTGCAGTCTAATAAGTTTTAAGTATTACTTTTACTATAATTAAATTATTTATATTTTTAAATATTTTTATTTTGAATAAATTTTTGTTTTCAATATTATGCCCAGTCTTATATAGGAATTTTTTTCAATATTTTGTTATTTTTTTTTTATTGTGAAAGACAATAAAATATAAATACTGTACATAGCTAAAATAAAATAGTATAATGAAAAAATATTTAATAAAATATAGAAACTAAGAGCTGTGTTGATTTTGTATTTTTAATGTGTTATTGCAGGTTTATTTTTTTGGTGTAATAATTTGCATTCTTGAGACAGACTGGCAAAATTACAAAATTTTTTTTCTTCTGAATTTCTGAAAATTCTATTGTTTTTATTAAGCATAATGTATGTAAAAGCAAGTTGAAGATTATTTTTGAAATGGCGGAGAGCCAATTATTCTCGACTGTTTCATATAATTTTATTGCAACTTATTTAATCGTAAGAATTTTCAAATATTAAATTTTTGCAGCGGCATATTTCGCTGTTGAAATTATTAACAGTTGTCAAGTAGTAAATAAGTAAATTGTAAATGTCATTCAATCATTTTTTAATTATAATTATTAATAATAATTTCTTTAAAGATATATTGCATAAAAAGATATATCTTGTTAAATGACAAAAGATATCTCTCATTTAAGATTTAATATAATTTAATATTTGCATATCTTAGTAGTTCTAGTAAAAATTCTAATAGTACCTATTCAAAAATTCAAATTGTAATAAATTAAATTGGAGCTACAAGCATGTAGAGTGCAAACCCAATATTAGATTTCATTGAATGTACATAAACGTATGGTTTTCTTATATCTGAAGTTTCTTTAAAATTGCTTCTACTATTTTTTTAAAGCTTTTATTTTATTTACTATCTTCGATAAGCTTATTATTATCTCAATTTTTAATTTTTGGTTTTTTTTTTCGAAGTGTTCGTTAAATTTATTTTTTCAAGAAGCCATTTTAGAAGAACTTCACGATATTTTTTTATTAATAAAAATATTCAAAACAATTGAAAGCGCATGTATTAAGTTTTCTGGTAAACATACAGTTATTTTAAATTCGAAAATCAAAAAAAAAGAGCAACTATGACAACAGGAGAAAGTCTAAGAAAATTGATAATAAAATATAAATGAGTTTTATAAGTACTCGTACTTACATACGTAATTAAAAGGAGTATGCATATACGACATATACTTAGAGTGCACAGATTCTATTCGTTTTCATTCGAATAAAACTTAACTCAACTATGCTATTTCTTCATGACACATATACACTAAGTCCTTGAGATACGACATATTTGGTTCCAGAAATTTATGTCGTAACTCGAATTGTTGTTTTAGGAGGAAAAAAATGTATGGAAATAAAAAGTGAAATAGACAAAATTTTTTATGATATAATTGACCTATTTTTTTAAAAAAAGGTAATCAAGTTTAAAAAAAAAACAACAAAATATAATAACGAAACCAAAAAATTCAATGTTGTAACAAAAATAAATAAAATAAAATCTGATTTAGTTGATATATATCACTTCAATTTATTTTTTTAACTATTGACTAGAATTCTTAACTAGAAAGAGTTCATTATTGAAATAATGTGCTTTATTCTTGTCTTATAACAAAATTCTGAATAGATTTTTATTCAAAAAACAGTAAAATCTATCAAAAAAAAAATTTTTTTTAATTTTTAATGTCGTATCAGGTATAATGTCGCAAGTCGAATAAAAATATTCCAAATTTATATCATGTCGTAACTCGAAATGTAGTATTAAAAGATGTCGTATCTTGAGGACTAAGTTACATTTTTGTACAATAATATCTTTTTCTCTTAACGGTTTCATTTTTTGAAATTTTTCGAACTCGAATAGTTATGTACGGATTATTGATTTCTTAAATTTACTTTTGAATAAAATTTTCTATTTCAAAAAAGTTTTCTTAGTTTTTTTTTTTAATTTAATTGAACGTTTTGTTAATGTTTTGTAATAATATTCAGGTAAACCTTTTGATCGTTTATGCTGTGTTTTTTTTTTAATTCTTGTACGTAACGTATTTTTGTTGGCAACATTTCGTTCGCAATCTGAACTAAATTTTAAAAAATTAATTTTTAATCCTTCCTAGTTCTTTTTTTGTTTTCTCTCTATCTTTTGAAATTTTCTGTAATCGTTATTTAATTTTTAGAAAAATAAATAAATTCTGCTCTTTTTAAAATAAAAAAAATACAAATCATATTAGAATAATATTTGGCTTAAAGTTCTTATAAAAAATTGCTGTCATAATTTGTATAACGTTAACGTCAAACTAACAGATTCGAAATGATTTCATACTAATTGTATTAACTATAAAAGCGATTCGAATATTTTACATATGTGTATTGCACGCATACAAAGTTTTTAACGAAAGTTAGAAACACGAAAAAAAACTACAAGAAAAGAAAGTATAGAAAAAAAATAAGGAAAATTGGAAAAAGGAACAAAAAACAAAAAGGAAAAGAAAACTCAATTTTTTCATAATCGCGACATGGAGGGTGTTTTTAGTTATCAAAATTTTTACAGTTGGTGACAAAAATCTAAAAAAAACTTCTTTAATATTAATTTAAATTTATTATAAATTAAAAATTAAAAAAATTAAGTAAAAATTTTCATTTTTTTATCAATTTTTCGAAAAGTTGTTAAGTTTTTTACACGAAACATTTTAGAAGGAAAAAAAATTTTTTTTGGATTGAATGTTGGAGGAAAAGTGAAGTAGAAGAAGAGGAAAAAAAAAACTTTTCTTTTTTTTTATATATATGAAAAAATTCTAATAGATCAAGTGTTGGTAGTGATTTAAAAAATTAAAATGAAAATTTAATTTACAAAATAAGTAAAAGAAGAAAAAAAAACCAAAAAATTGGTAGACAAATTCTGAGTTCTTTTCTTAAGAAAAAAACAAGGAAAAAGAGAAAAGAAAAAAAAATAACAAAGCAAAAAAAAGGACACGAACGAAATTTTTTTTTTCATTTTGAATTTTTAAGTGTACTTGTGAAAAAATAATTAAAAAATTAATAAAATAATAGAAAAATTTATTTGAATATTTTCATATTTAAATTTTATAATTTTTTTTAAACTTTTCAAATGAATTTCCTTACTAAAATAGGTTAAAAAAGTTTAATATTTGAATTTTAAATTTTCATTTAAATAAAAAAAATAAAATATAAGTATTTATGTATGTATGTATGTTAATTATAATGTATATTACATTTTAAAAAACCTAAAAAAGCAAGAAAGAAAAAAAAAATTTTAATTTTTAATAATAATTGACAATTCTTTTTTTTTTCTCTCTCTCTCCCTCTCTCTCTCACTGAAACGAAGGATAAAAATGTGTGGATAATCATTTTGATAAAATGAGGTGAAAATTAACTGACTTATGTACATATATAATACATCCAATATAATATAAACATGTATATACATCAATCTATATAAAATATAATACACTTTAGGTATACATGTGTATTACAAATGTATGTCCTTATACATATATGGGTATATATATAGGAGTTATATATATTATGTATTTTGTATTAATTGATATATACTCAGATGGATATATGCGTGCGATATATGTATATTTATGTGATATATGTACAAATTCATGTGAGATATATAAATTCAATGATATATAAATATTATATATCATAAATATACTTACATATTGTATATATACGTACTATGATATATATTATATAAAAATATACAAGTATATTGTATATTAAAACTTGCAAATATCTATATATATGAGACGAATATTAATATATATTACAAAAATTAAAAATTAATAAATATGTATGTATGTAGTATATTGATATATATATATATATATATTACATATCATATATATGTATAAATCTATGTATACATTACATGAATATCTTTTCGAATGGGTGTATATATGAATTAGCAAATTCATTTTTACATTATAATTTGTATGTAAATAATATGTAATTATAGATATACACTAAGAATAATATTAATATGTATATATATCGTGTAACATTTAATACAAATCTTGTATATTATTAAATGAAAGCAAATGTAAAAAAATTGTATGGATAAAAAAATTCTATGCATACAATTTTCTTTTTTTGTATTTGTGTTAGTGCATATAAAAATTTTTTTGAATTACTTGCCTTAGTTAAATAACGTTAACAAAAAAAACCTAAAAAAGAAAAAATATCATTGAAAGGAAAAAAAATCCTGTGGGTTTAAATTAAAAATTCTCTGCTTTGAAAATAATTTTATATATGTATGTATACATATGTTTATGCTTTGTTTGTATGTTTGCATATACATATATATACATACGTATATATATGTATTTTTTGTAATTGGCATTATGTTTTCTTATCTTTTATTATAATATTGTGAATTGTTTTCATTTATTTTATATTTTTTCTTTCCTTATATTGTGTTTTTTTTTATTTAAAATAAATAAATAGAATGAATACATATCTATAAAAGATCTGGTGAAAATGAGGGAGAAAAATGAGAAAAATATGTTTAATTTAAGTAAATTTTTAATAAAATATAGTTTTCCTTTTTTTCTTGTGCTCTTATATTAAATTCCTTTA